TTGAACGACTTCAGCTACACAAAAGTTTTGTCTGCTCTGTATATGTCATGCATTGTGGAGTGTGGAAGTAATCACCAGGAACTTTCCTCTCACAGAAGCCAAAGCAACTACTAGTGGTAAAAGTCTTCTCCTCAGTAAAAATCAGTACAGCTCAAAGGCGTGGGAGCAAAACATCTTCTTCTTCTTGAGAAATAGGTAAACTAGTTCAGAGGTAGGTCCTCACCGGCAAGAAGGGCCTGTGAGAGGACCTCAGGCCACATTGTAGAATAATGGGGAGGAAAAGACGGTACTACTTTATCCTTTTCTTTTTAGAATTTGACAATGAAAATATCATTTGCATGCAGACTGGCTAGTTAAGAAAACAAGAGCGACTGAAACACCTATTAAAGCTCCATTTATTACTTTTCCTGCGCCTTTGAGGGTGGTATCAGACGATCAATTCAATGAGTAAAGTGTTGTAAGAAACTGTTTGGTATTAGTTAGGGAATTTTTTACAATTCTTGGCAAAAAAGCTAGTCTCTGCATAATTACAACTTCCTTTTTTAAGGGCCAACGCATCGATTCCATTTATGCGCCTGCACTGATTCAAAGGAGTTAGTGAATGAATGGCACGAATTTAAAATTTGTGAATTTACACAAACCTTGTAAAGCTAACAAAATAGGGGATTTTATCCTATTTGAAATGCTTGATTTCATTTTTAGAAGAATACAAGATATTTCTAGATACTACTTATTACTGCCAATTGAGCTACTTTACGTGCTCTTTTACAAACTTCCCTACCTGAGGAAAATTTTCATCAGCTTGATGCTTTTACTACATATTAAATAAAATTAGAGCATTAAAGTTAAAATAGCTCACACAAATCAGCTGTGAACCCTTCAGTATGTGTTCACTGTTGTGTTTGACATCTTTCTAGCTAATTGCGCACTTTCGTCTCCGTGTCACTCATTGTGGCTACACCTTGCTCTGCAGATCAGCAGTCTAGGCATGGTAGTGACTTTAATCCTTTGGTACACCAGTAATCCTTGTTCCTAAACAGTACTTTAGATCTTCGTGACCTCAGTGCAGTTGTTTTAAAACAGCTACTTAAAATAAATTAATAGGCATGTTAGCTTGTTACTCTATTTACCTTTGTACTCTGAATGTTTGCTAAAATTACTGCTTCGGTGTGTTTTATCCCACGCTATTGTTTGTTATGAGTGATCGTTAAACTAAACAGCTGCCCTGTTATGCCTGAAATTACATATGCTGTTCCCTCAACGCCGATGGTGTGTTACGACTCCAAAGTGACCGGATAAGATAGCATGATATTTTCCTAGTATAAATGAAATAGCTCAGGATAACCTCTTGAAATGTTTCATTCGTTAAACTCCTAACCAGTATCAATGAAAAATGGGCCTTCAAATGTCACACTTATGATATACACATTGTCTCTGCAAGTGGTAGCCACTTCAATTTCCATAACGTTACTCCCCAGCTATTCATTTATTTTGTATATGATCACATGACTGTTTAGGAAGAAGGAAAGGTTGAAGTCATAAATTCGAGAATTGCTACTCGAGTAGTATGGAGGATGGAAATGAGACGGCATCTCCTTCGCTGCAGCTTGTCACCTTAGGGTGGGATATGAGGTCCTAAGGAAAAACTTCGAGATGATATGAAGTTTAAGATCTTGCCTTACCCTCCTAGGTAAAAAATACCTTATTGTTTTATTGAGTGAGTGAAAACTATGCAATGCTACTGAGGACGCGCTTTTGTAGCAATACTATGGCGTAAAACTTTGTAAATAAAGCAGCCAACCTCGAAACATCCTCACCATAATCAACCGATATTTTAGGAATTAAGGGTTAAAAATAAGAAGATAGTGGGGTGCACAGCAAAGAATTTCTTGCTGCACTGGACCGTGCATCATAGTGCGTCTATGGATTAAGGCCTTTTTATCCACTCCTTACAAAGACACGTACATAAAAACTGATGACATGCATTCTACAGGCGCATAATTCATTAAGTCGCCAAAATCTAACACGGAATATAAAACTCTTTTGGTCTGAGTCCTTGCTCATGAAGAGAGATATTAAACAATCTGTATGCATAGTTGGTTGAGGCTGTAGTCTAAACAAATAAACATATGATTGAACGAACAGAAGGTGGAAGGGAGGAGCGGAGTAACTAACCATTTTAGTTAAAGTAAGGGGGCAACCAGTCCCCTCTACAAATTTCATACCTCAATGATTATTTGGCACGGTTCGTTATTGCATCACATCAGCATGGAGCCATGGTAACTGGTGTTATTGGGAATGGGGGTAAGAGACAAGGTGAAGCCGCTCTTTGGATCCACATGATCGGAATTGTTGAGATAAACATCAAGTATGACAATGTGTAAAAAATGAAGTGATTAGTGATAGGTAAACCTCTAATTTCTGTTATAACGGATGTTCAAGTGACCCGGCTTTTTGCTCAAATACTGATTTTTATTGGCATCTAGGAATATGAAAACATGAAGATGGCAACTTCCGCCTTGTAAATGCCCCTTGAGAAGACCCCATACCGTAATTCAGAATGCAAGAAAAGAACATACTCTCTCATCCTCATCGCCACCCTCCACATTTCCCATAATAAAGCTTCTCCAAGTGATATTAGCACTTGGCAATCACATGCCAGAACAGAAAAGAAAGTTTGGGAAACGGTAGAGGGCTAGGGATGAGGGTGAACACGGCTAGGTGTTTTAGTTTTCCTTTGGAGTCAAAAGGTCTAAGTTGAAGAGGATTAGCGAACAGCTTCTCACAGCACGCCTTTATTTTTTTGCCTTCTAGAGAAGAACGAGTTAAGCAGCAATAGGACACTCCGAGAATCTGACCAAAAATGCCAGGCTTAGACTCACGGTTTACAAATCCCGCGATTATAATTCATCCCAAATGTTTATCGTCAGATTGACACTCGTCTCCATATTGCAGGATCAAGCAATTTAATTTATCAATGCTAATCATTACGACATAAATGTGAAATGGATGCACTCGCCAGCTCTTGCGTCCACTATACACCCCTTGTGCAAGACGGATACTTCCTTCCACCACCTGTTTAGTTGTAAGTACATGATGACATACCCTCACGCAAACGAACCTATCCTGGGGATAGGAAAACTAGACCACAAATGTGGGTCGAGTCGTGGCCTCTGGCCTGACAGTGTCCTCGACCGTCAATGACTCATGTGGCTAGTTGGTCAGCTATACGCGTATACAAAGTCTGTCTGACAATCACAGTCACTTTGAATTGGAGTCTCTGTCGAAAGACCTTGACTTCCTTTATGTGGTTGAGTACACTATTGGTGCTAATGTCCCATCATCGCGTGTACTAAGGACTGTGAGACGGTGATGGTGAAGGAGGGGTTAATTTTTGTGCTCACTGGTCAGAGGGTCATAAATTGAGTGGTCACTAGTTATGGGGTGCTTCGCCAATGCATATAAACTGAGTTGCCCTTTTTATGATTGAGTTTCTGTACTCTAGATCCTGAAAATCAGTCAAAACCTCTAACCGGGTAAGTAATAAAGGAAGGCTTTAGGGCGGATGTCTTTATTAACTGAAGCAGTGAGTGCGCAAAGGAGGTACAGCCAGTGTGGATGAGCCTGGTCGCTATAGAACACAATACTGGAAACTAAGTTGCTTTTCAGTGGTTTCATTTTCGGGTATTCTTAGTAACAGATTAATCTCGTCTTGACCTTCGAGAGTACACCTCTGCTGGATATAAGCCAATCAAGCTGGAATAGGCACGAGATTCGTTTAAAAGGTTGGGGACTAGCAATCAACTGGAAATTCTGGAAAACTAAACAGTGACATATTTCTAAAGATGGAGAGTGACGTGTGGATAACCAATACTTGGGTGTCTAATGGATGAGTCGGCTAGTGCTATATGGGTCTAAAACAGAGAGACTACACTGTGGTCTTCCTGTCCCAGCCGCATAATCAGTCTTTGTGCTTGAATGATGACAATCGGTGTGGTGAGTTGATCATCGCTACTGGCTGCACAAAAAAGGGAAGAATAGGGGTACCAAACAGGAAGCCGGATCCACAATTATTTGTCACTAAACTTCACCTTTTAAATTCCTTTGATACTTCAAACAAAAAAAAATTGCAGACCTTAGCCGTTTTAGATGCCAATTAATCTCCCCGGTGGTGAGTACAAGCATGTACAGGATCTGTGAATACGCATATATATATCTGTTGGATGGTAAAATTGACGTAATTTGAAACGCCACTTTTGTCCATTGTGGAGAAATGCCCGATTGTAACAAACTTTGAGTCGAACCGGATGCTCAAGCCACAACCAACGTTCAGTAGAATACTGACATCATTCGGTGGTGGTTTATCACTGGCTTGATCCCCTTTCGATTTTATACCCCATTCCATTTCCATGGCTAGCCCCAAACATTCTGGAACGTCATGCCCTCCCTCACTCCCTCCTGATTGGCCGATATCACGAACAGATGTGCTTTAAGTGTCCCAATACTCACTATAAGGTCAATGTCAAATACTATAAATAGGCGAACCTAAGAATCCCCGTGCATCCCTCCCGCAACCCTTGCCATCCAGCTTGCCACCGTGTACACACAGTGCTATAATAAGATAGGACCAGGCTTATTATTATCAGTTTAATCCAAACAGGAACAAAGAAAGAATAGATTGGAGCTAAATTTTTACGGGTTGAAAACTTCAATTATTTTCTTTTAGGTCCCTCTGCAGCATAAACGCTGGCTATACTATGTTAAACTTCAAAATGAAATGATCCATGGACAGTCTATTTTTAGTAGGCAGCGATGAAAATTGCAGGCTTCCACTGCTTTTAACTTCACTGCGAAGCTACGAACTTGAGCTTCACTATTCGTGATGACCAAACCTTCTTCACTCCAACTCTTCAGAACAGGGAAAAGTGGGATGCCATAATGACATAAAATGAGTGTTTAACCATTAAATCAACGAAAGGTCATGGTTGACTAGGTTCACAATGCCTTACGAACAGATTCGACTTCGGTGTGGACTGGGAATTCTCTCGATGGGGATCAACACCGGCAGTTATAAGTACGGGCGTCTTTGAGACGTCTGCACAATTCCAATGCCTTAGTGCTGAGAGTCCTCCAACGGTACCATAGTTAAATTCTTCTGTTGACATAAGTGAGAATATAATGTGCTGTTCCAGGTGCTCACCAACTCTCCTGTCAGATCTGGTTCGTAAAATACCTGTCAACTAGAGGTGATAGCAGGATCACGAAAGCCAGGACACAAGGAAAACAAACGATAGTAAAGCACAACTTCTAGCTTTGTTCGACCGCCCTCCTTAACGCTCCACCTAGGGGATTTCATGCTCTGGTATCGCTTCCTTTTTAGTACGTTTAGTCAAAATACCACTGGGTGATTAACGCAGACTCCCGAGTCTTTAGTAAAGACGTACTAAGTCAAGCTAGCATGTGAGGACAAGTATTCCTAAAGTATAGAGGGACCGAAGTCTGCTAGCCTGCAAAGACTGAAGTCCCCGCATGATTAAACATATTTTTAACAAAGTGGAGAATTATTGCTTTTAAGGTTCTTCTGCTTTAAGTCCGTGACACCTATTTGTTTGCTTGAAAAATCTTTAAAACATTACCCAGCTTCATTATCCAGCCTCGAGATGCATACAGTAAATTGTCTTCCATAAAACACCATGCTACTCATCATTATGAGTAGTTGAGTGACATAAAAAACACTTGTTGTGTAGGGTTTGGAAAAAACCCTTCGTAATCAAAGATATTCTTGTACCTTACACGTTGATCTTAATAAGAAACAAACAGGAGAAATCAGAAGCTTTACCAATTCCTGTTCATGATGTGGAAGTAAGTAGTCTTAAAAATTTGAGGAACCTCTCGTGCTTATCAAAGATTATTTCCGCCTATGAAAGGCAAAAGAGATTATGAATGACAGAAAAATTCTACATTTCGCCTTCATTTTCCTTATACTTACTTTTGGGTTTGTTTCTAAAGGTAGGGTGTAACTCATTCAAAATCACCACCTAAATTTCTCTTTTTAACAGTCTCTTTATCATGTAGTACCTTATTTTACAAGTTGTTTCTAAAATGTCTTCGCCTTTTTCTTTTTTGCTGTACCTATGGTGGAATTACTTCAAAACCATTGCACGATATCAATACTTTTAAAGCTGCCCTACCAGAGAGTATTTTATTCCAACACTGATACACCTGCCTGCTGGGATAATACCGTGTTCTCCACACTTCGCTTTGATGCAGTCAACTTATGCATTTCAAAGGTATCTCCAAGCGCAGGATAAATTATCCCTTCTACTTTCATAGGCATGTGGAAGTGGGTAAATTTTGAAACATTTTGAGGCGCAACTAGTGGTACTGAGGCGACTAAAACCCCGATCGGAACAAGGAGACTTGAAGAAACATGAAGGGAGGAAAGTTGGCACAGTGCCTGAGTCACCTTTAAGGACAGGGACTTGGCTCCGCCCCTTTAATGTGTTAACGGAATTGTAGAGGCTCAGAAAGGCTCGATGTAGGTATGAAGAAGGGTAGCTTGCTGAAGTATAAGGAAAAGCAACGAAACCGAAGGGAAACTCATGGAACCTGTACAATTAAATGTCACTATTTTAGGCAGAAGGTGCTTCTAAAAACACCCTGAGTAAAACATCACGGAGGCAACACTTAAGTCTTATTGACTCCACCGATTTTTTCCTCCTTTGTGATATACCTTTTAGAAATTTACTAATTTCGTACCTTTTAAGAGCTCATGCTGCTCCCTAAGATGCTCTCTTCGCATTTCACTCTCTACTGGCAGGAAGAGCTTATAAGAAAGGTGAGTTATTAACTGAAGCAGCCTTGCATGGCCAATGTTTTGCCACTTCGCTGTCATTTTCATATCTCCAAGTCACCTAATTTGCTATCCATTTGTCCTTTAAGAACCTGATGGAGGCAGTATTCATTCGTAGCAGCTCCACCAACAACGCCTTTATACAGTTTGAGACTCGTCTCGCTTCAGCTGTTAATTGCCTGCTCAAAAAACCTTAGCTTCAAGAAGGCTTAACTTCTGTGAGTCTCCATGGCTTCAGTCGCCATCAGCGTATACCTCCTTCTGTGACGTTTAGATGCGGTAGCTAGCAGTAGGGCTTAAGATTCTGTCGCCTTGGAGATGGCACTTTCCATGACCGACCATTTTTTGAGATCATTACTAAAGTAGAAAGATGTGAGGTATTACCAAGGCTTAACTTCCCTTGTGATATAGCACATCTAATGTCACTTATATGTTATTTCTCCCTTTATGACGTTTTAAAGAGGTATTTGCCAAATCACATTGGCTTCTATCTTCCTTTAAAGTGGATTCATCATCGCTTACTGAGCCTGAGTTAGCCCTAAAGATAATATAAAATACATCAGTTTGGAACTAGTCGCATTACAAACACAGAGCCTTGAACTCAGGCGACCAGTAAGGCAGTCCCTACTAGCAAGACTGCATGTCAGCAGGATATGTGCCCCATCTAAGGGGACTGCAAAAGGTCTGAGCAGTCAGATGCCTCTTAGACACGTAATTAGGTAATATTTTCAGCTAAAACATTTCAGCCTGCATCTCCTAACTAAAAAGATTAATGCAGCAGGAAGTGGTGGTAGTTAAATCAAGCCTAAAGAAGGCACAGTAATCAAATAATTTTCCCTGTCAAATATTTGTGCCTATAGATCCATCCTCAAATCAGTCAGTAATTAATATAAACCAATTAAGATTTTTGCTTTCACCCTAGGGTTTGGTTTTTGCGCGTTGTGTAAACTAGTATATCTAACTAGCCTCCCCGTCTCCCCGCCCTCGCGTTATCAACCCGTATCCACGCATTTACTCACGCACGCTACTCCTGATTTTACATCATAAAACCTTAGCCATCTCCTCCAACCCTCCCAATTAAGATACATCAATGAGAGGAGTGTATATTTAAACTGCGGTAGGTTGAGAGTTGGGTGGATAGGCAGGCGGGTAGGCAGGTTGTGGCGGAGCGGAGGAAGGATAAACGCCGCAATAGCGTGCATTCTCGCAACTGCAACTGCTTATGTCAGGCCACCCAGCTATCTCTCTAAGAGAGAAGGGAAAAGGGGTTGGATAGAGTGCAAACTCCCTCCACTCCACTCCGCTCTCCTAACCCCTCACCTCGTATGCCGCTTTCGAGAGCGCGTAAGTACCGCTGAGGAAAGATGTTGATGTGATTTTGGCGTGTGTGGTGTATGTGTGTGGGAATAGGGGGATAAGGAGGGGTGGAAGAAAGGGTGGGAGAGAGGGGAGAGGAAAGAAAAGGAGGTAAGGCAGTAGCAGGTGCTTGTTTAATTGGCATTGCACGCAATTAGTAGTCCACAACCATTACTACTTCCACCACTACCTCCCCATTATCATCAACGTTAATACCGCCACGGAATCTTCTCTTTCGTTTAGCTAAGTTTAGACTGATTAGACTAATTTAAGACCAGCTACTATTTACTCCTAAGGGATTGAAGAAATAGCTCAAGAAAGACAGTTTAACGGAGGATTAAGTAATTTTGTTTGCAGAGTAGATGGGTGATAGTAATATATATTTATCAATGATGTCTGAAAGAGCATTCAAGAATCGAATGAAGTCGTTATTTATCCCTTCTCTCTAATTCTGCTCAGTCGGAAGCAACCTTTGCATCAAGGACTATTAAAAATGTAAAAAAACTACCGAATTCATCCAATGGAAGTTGGCGTCTTCGCTGGTATTTTATGCTTTCGCATAAGTATCCACATAATTTCTCTTAACTTGGTACTGGTTGTAAACAACACAAGAGTAATTTTAGATCGACTTGCAAAAGTTTCTATCCTTTATTGCAGACAGATTGCTGTCTAGTGAAGGCCATGCACTGTCGTGGATAAGCGCCGATCAAGAGAATCATTCTCCTCCATTCCATGGCATGCTGTTCTCCCGCTCTATCGGACCACTCAGTCGTCATATTCACAACAGGAAGGCAAATAAATAAACAAACAGACTTATTCCACCTACTGCTCATATTTGGCTTGATTCGTCTAAATGATCAATGTCTGAGGGTCACAATATCATTAGCTTCTCAAATCCTGTCAATCGGTATAGAGCGATGAACAGAGGAAATATTACGCCAAGATTCGCCAACACTTACCACCCCTTCACTCTATTCCCAGCTGGTAAGACCAAGGCGACGGTGTGGCAGCTGTCACAGGGTTTCCAGTCACTGTAACTGAGTGTTACTTATGTTGGAATTTTTTATCTTCCCTACTGGTTGACCTTTGACCATATTCCACTTGAACATCATCACCACCACCGCCACTTCAATGAGGCCACGGACGGTGGTAAAGGTAGGACAGTGCTGCTGAGCCGATTGAAGTAAAAGGGCACGTACATGGCAGTGACTCTTCTGTCATATGGTGTGGAATGACTAGAAATCATTTGGCCTTTAAGTAGTCTTCTTTGGCCTATCCATCTGGATTTTTGATCTTGCTGTTTTGGAAATTACGATAGAAAAGGGGTTTTATAAATAATTAGCATCGAGTATGTCGTGTTATAAAAGTGTTTAATGGAAGTAAATGCTGCTGACCTCATCAAAGTTTCCCCTTTTTAAGACTAATCTCTATTAGTGACACAGGCGAAAAGGGAAAGGTAACATTTAGAGAAATGTCGTCATGAGGATAAGGGGAAAAAGGTGGTATTAGACATGGGACCTTGCGCTGTGTTGTTTCATAAGAATCGCAGTTTCCTTCGCCGCTTCAACCTCTTTACCATGCTAGGGTTTCATATCGGGCCTATGGACTTCATTTGCTGCGATATTTTTGGTGTCCATCAATCTACAGCACAGTCGTGAGTTAATGGAAATGAGACAATGCTTATCTTACACCTGTGAGGTGGATAGTGAGTAAAGCTTTCAGGAAAAGCTATTCGTTTTTTCATATCGACAACTGTTTAAATTATGCAGGTGTATTTTTCATCGTCATTTAAAAGATCTGAAGAACCATTCTACTACTTTCATAAGGTCAGAGATATAAAGAACAACAAACTGACCCTCCTTATGAAGCGTCTATCATCTACTAATCTATAAAATTTGAATGGAACCCACCCACTCAGGATGCTTCCATGATGTCTCTCTCCCCAACTGACGTAAGTGCAAAGCACTTGACATTAGATGGGTGAAATTTTTCCCTGACGTAAAAAAGGATATATTGCTAAATTTCTATCAAGAATATGAAACTCAATGCACCAATCTTTAAGTGAGTTATCAGCAGAACTAATTTTTAAACTAAAGAAATTTGGGTGGGTTATTCTACCGTTTTAGCTTATCCAATTGCTGCTTACAAATTCGTCGAGAAGCCACTGTAGCCCCGGAATTAAGTTAAACTCGGTTCGCGAAGCTAACAAGCTAGAATTACAATAATCAGGTCCATTAGGCCGACCCTTTGTCCAAAGGAACAGAAACAAGGGAAAAGTAGTAGAATGCTTAATCAATTATGGACTCAGTCCAGCGGATGCTGTTCGACGTAAACATGCGGTTTTTCGATGTAACTGGTCTAAAAAGCGTAATTTTTCCTTTGAAATTTCCTATTCTTATTATGAGAGTAAAACATAAAACTGGTTACTCTTTGTGGATTTCTATTTACAAACACAAGATTGATGCTACTGATAAAACTTAAGCAGTATTTATTGATAAATCGTAGGAGAAGATGCCTTTTTGCTAAGATCAATTGGGACTTCATCTTCATTGACAGTTGAAAAGGGTAGCCATGGCGTTGCCTGATCTCCTGCACGACTGCCACTGTTTCGAAATGACTGACGTTTGTTGCAGAACCAAACACGAATCACCTCACGATCGTAGTTTAACTGGTTTGCCAGTTGAGAGATTCTGGTGCCTAAATAAGAAGGGAAAAACAGAGTAATGTCAACAAAGCTGCATCTACTTGTATCTGGATAGATGAAAAACATGTTTCCCATCAAATATGCAAATATCCCAGACGATCTTGGGTTTTAAGTAGGTAATGATGCACGACGCACTGATGAAGAACTCATGGCTCTGAGGTAAATACTAATTAATCTGATCCTTGGCGCTTAAAAGCGTGGCAAATGATTTTAATCAAAACTGATTGTCAAGCAGTTATGTTTAATCATTTTTAATGAGCTTTGCCTTCTTATATTTACCACATGGAGTAAGTAGAATCGAACCTGACGGATGCATGTTGATGTTGAATTCATGATTGAGGCGCTCCAACGCATCAGCCGAGAAATTTGTTCGACTCTTGCGCTTCCTAATCCCGGCACAAGACTCATCCGACTCGCAGTCGGCGCGATAGATCCCGCTATCCTCCGGACTGCTGCCGACACTTCCACAGACACTGTTTTTATTTCCAAGATTGGTTGGATGTGAAGCCATTTGATCATTAGGACGACGACCCTCCAGTTCCGCGAGCCAACGCTCCAATACCGGTTTAATGCGTTGAGCTGATTTTGGTGTGATGTCAAGCTTTTCAAACCTAAAAATAATGCTTCACGTCAAATAATCTTGAGTTTTTTTGAAAAGAACTCTGCTGCGCCACTTCCCAATTAAAGAAAGATTCCCCAGGCGTAGGGATTGTCAGTAAATGACTAGTCTAAACGGCGTCTAAAAGGTGAATTTCCGGCAGACGGCACCTATCCTTTTGAGGGTTTTACATGTAAGATTATTTTTAATCGAGACCAAGTTGGACTGTAAAAAGCCTCAACTTCTTGAAGGAAGTGGATACACTAATCTCAAACAACTTGGAAATTAGCAGCCAAATTTGATATAAACCTTACCCAGTTATAAGCTTTTTTGACATGAAAACAAATTAGATCATTTGAGAAAAATGACAAATTTTTGTTGACTTATCAGAGTAAGATTCACCAGCTGGGGTAAAATAAACAAGACGAAAAGTGAATTAATAGGTGAGGGATTGACAAGGTTGCTTGATAGATATGCATATAGCTGATGAGATGTAGACTTGGACTAGTGTATGTAATTGAAAGAGAAGAAAACTGGATGATTCAAGATCAAAAAATGAGTGAATGGATCAGGCATTGTTAGATAGAGATGGGAAAGTAGACAGGTAAATGAATGGCTAGACGTATAAGCGGGTGGATAAAAGGTGAGGACAAATGAGCCCATAAATGATGGGATAATTATTAAAGTAACTGAAAAAAATGCCCATAACTACAGGTTGACCAATAGTCTAAACAATACCCTATTATTCTGGTCATGATTATCAAAATAGCTTGTCAAAATAGCCCCAGTAAATTCAACTCTTTTGACTCAACCTTTAGGTATTAACTCAACAATAGGCAAGTCAATTCAACGCTTCGAACTAATCGCATCATCGCATGGATTCAGATGGACAAATGGTCAAATCTTACCGACAAATAGCGCTTTGACTGTAGGCGGGTCCATCTCCAGCTGTTAACGCACGTCCGATTTGTGTCTGTGTTAGACCCAAACTCAATCGCTTCATTTTGAAGGCCCGTGCAAATCGTCGAATATCTTCGATGTGTTCATTGGTGTCATTCAGTGCTGTGGCGCTGATTTTTTTGCATTTCTTGCTCCCACTACTGGTATTTTCATTTTCATCCCTCGCTATCCTATGTAAACGCTTCGTCTTTCGTGAAACGGCAGCCTCCTCCGACCCGTATGAACGTTGGGCTGAAAAAAAGTCCTTAATTACACAGATTAATTTTATCAAGGGCTAGAGGTCATTTCAAAATACTTCATGTTCTCTAGCCATCGGGTGAAGTCCCTAACTTACTTCTTTTCACTTCCAATCCGTTTTGCACTGGAATGATTTTTGATGGTTGAAGGAAGAGTGGGAATGCATATTCGATGTTCGGTTCAAGCTGATTAAGAGATGATATGGGCGGACGCGGAGCGACTTCAATCGGTGCTCGGGGTGGGGGAAAAGCAATACCAGGCGGAGCAAGACAGCGAAGAAGCATGCTCAGAGGGAGCGGTGGGAACAATTGTGGTGGGTGTGGCGGTGGTGGTGGAGGTGGAAATACGGGAATTTGGAAGGAGGAATCACTAAGTGCTGGAGGCCACATTGCGAGAAATCATTTTACCGTAAAGTAATTTATTTACTAAATATAGTAAGTGATGTTCGTTGATCACAATCTATGATGAGTAAAGAATCGACGTGAACAGGAGATATCGAAGCATCTACCGATTGCGCGTGTCACTCTGTCGCCCAATTTGGGCTTATATACTCCTCCTCTAAGGATGAAGGCAATTTACAGTACCTCTCCTCCTCCCCCATTCCTCCCTTTTCGTGATTTATACACTTGCTCGTGAGAGGGTATGGTCGGAAAGTCGCTGCCACACGGCATTTTGCGGTAATATCGTTCAGACTTTAGTTAAGGCAGGGGTGGGTGGCGGAAACCAAAGGAGAGGAGGGTGTAGGGGGAAGAGGGGGAAGTGAAACGCCGCTTTCTGCTAGAATCACGCGCGTGTTCGACAAAACACGCAATACCTCCTCCTCTTGCCCCTTTCTCTCGTCCTCCTCCTGTTCAGCACACAAAGTCAGTTTGGTAGTCAAGTCTTTTGAATTAATCATGCATGTTAGGGTTTTCAAACTCCTTAACATTGCCTCTTTATGGAGGGGATCAGGAAAATGGGTAAATTGAATAAAACTAGACAGTGACTACCACTTGGGAACACTAAATACATACTTTTAGATTCATTGGCTAGATATTTGTTGAAAGAGCTGCTTTTATTCCTTTTTTCTCATTTTCTAAACGGGTGATACGACCCCTCAATTTCTGTAGCCTCAACAATCACAGCACAGTGGAAGCTTAAAAACCGCTCCCAAGAAACTTTATATTAGGTCCACTGATGCATCACTTCAAGTAAACTGTATCCTGAGTCTTTCCCATTCGCTAACTGTATTGGGAAGGGAGAAATGCACAGACCTTCTACTGCCTAAGATTGGTTGATGCTCTGCAACGAGGGCGCTGGTTACCGCAATCGCTCGTCGCAAATAAATTGGTCAAAGAGCTAAACCATTAAATAGGAGCTATTTAAAGCATTTACAAGGGGTCTATGGTCAGTATTTGTTTCCCCAAGCCCCTTATATCTAAATTGCCTTTCAGCTAGTGGAGACGTGGAGGAAGTTTTTCATTTCTGCTTAATCAAAGGCTTTACATGTATGCAGGAGATGTTGCTCTAGCTGTAAATAGCCTCCTTTTTAAAGGGGGATTAGGATCATTGCCAAAGGAAGACGTCAGTTTTGGCCATTCTGTTAGAAATCCTCACCGGCTATACCCATCCACAGTAGATGTCCTTCTTCTATTAAGTCAGGTTTTTGTTCACCCATTAAAATCAGCAAGTTTGCTTGCCGATGTCACTGCAACGAGACCTTCTCAAAGTCATAACTACCAAAATTAGCATAAAAGAACAAATTACTTAATGACGCTAAGGCGGGCTATGCGGCTACTAGCATGGCGCAAAGGACATGCTGCGGAGGCAGTCGGAGGCAAAATCTCTTTTGTGGAGACCGCAGCAGTCGCAGTTTTTAGAATCCCATTTTTAACCAATTTGGCAAGTCATACACGTAACAATAATGTGAAAGACAGAGGTGCCCTAACTTCATAGGTAAGGGAAACAACTTATACATCCTCAAAAAATTAAGTAAATCTATGAATTAACTTATGCATTATTTCCTCCTACGATAATTGTCAGCGTCCTCAGTCCAGTTGCCGGTTATGCAAGACAAAGAAGGGGAAAAAGAGCCCCATTGCATTAATTAGCTAACCTTAAGCAATTGTATACCATTCAAGGTAGCTACTTGAGAACATGCTGTTGCAAGGCTCCAGGATCGTGAATTATCCTTCATATATTCAGAGGCCAGTAAAATATTGTGTATTCCATCAAGTAGGAGTGCTAATAGCTTGAAAATTCTTTTCGACAGCAAGCTAGCAAAATCCCTCCAAAATTTATCATTTTTTTCTCGATTTTGAGAAACAAGCGACTAATTCACTCCTTCGAGTCAAGAGCAAAAACAAATCAAATTTCATCTAGCTGTAGAAATCCACCACAAGATCACGGACACTTGTGATCACATTCATTTCCTTCAAAGTTTTACGGTGCTGAATTTGATTTGGTTAATCAGTCCTCCTAACTGCTTATGGATAATTTATTTCCACCTTTTTAGATGGAAAAGCACGACAAAGTGGCAAAACTATCTGGTTTTGGGAGGTGATGCTGTACCACTTGACTAGGTCCGATGGTACCACCATGGTGATACAGTAGATTTGCCAGTGTCAACCAGAAGGGAGTACAGCTAAGCGATTGACAGAAGTCTGATTTCATTTTTTTTTCGCTGGTTCAGCTCTGACTTCCGATTTTCCCTCACCTCTGCCATTTGTGGCCTGTCCAGCATACATTCTCCTGCAGAAGGGTAAAAGCTATCTGTCGGCTGAGCCTTTGTAAAGGAAACTGCTTTTTTGAGCTCAAATTACCCACAAATCATGATGAGCTGGAAGTACTACAGTTTTAGTTTCCTTTACAGCCCATTAATATTAGGTATTCCTTCTATTTGAGGTAACATTTAACATAATTAAAGGGATTCTGAGAGGTATTACTTCCCTATTCATAAAAGCAAAGCTTAAATAAGCTCTTTTTGGCAGATCAGCCGTTGGATGGCAGCATTATTCAGGGCTTCTTCTTTTCCTTCACTGCTTTTTTCAGTAGTCTGGACTGATATCGTCTCAGGCGGAGGAGGGGAAGGGGAAGGAAAATATCTTAATGTCTTACCAAGACATGTTTTTCCTAATCTTTTCCAAAGTTTCACCTCTGATAAGGTATTTGATAGTGTTTTTGAATAAAAAGCCTTTTTGAAGCAGTTACCAAATAAAATATGACCATTTGAAACGGAAGGAGATTCTTCGCAGACGAGTAATGCACTCTCCTCTTCTGGCTCACTGAAGTCTTGAAAGCTCAGCTGGAATATAGTCAGCCTTAGAAAGTTTTATTGCCCTCACTTTGTGGTAGGTCCCGCCCCAAAATCCCAGTACTAAAGCGAAAGGTGGGGTTTGCCGACTGTTCAACCTCTCACCACTTTGGAAGGGCAACATGTGAGTCACTTTTGTGAGTGAGTGGACACTCATTTAAAGGGAAAAATCTCCCCCGAAGCACATTTTAGAACAAATTTTCCTGACATTGCTTTGCTAGTCATCTGATTCTGCCATCACTAATGCTGTCCAGTGACACCTCGAGACATGCAATCTGAGGTTTGAGGCGTCCACTTGGCATGTTGTCAGCTTTAGAGCCTGTCTCCATACGATACAAATGCATTAGGCTGTCGTCACACTGACAAAGGTAAAGGATTCAAGTCTTTAATTTTTGTCATTCTATTTTGGAAATTAGTTGACATCAATATTTGCATCACAAATACGAAGAAATTAAAGAAGAATAACTGGTCTTTAGGCTCCGTAGGCTCTACTACTCCGTTGTCAGTAGTATTGACAAAAGGTAATTATTTCTTTTAAAGAATGAAAGTGCTTCCTCCAATTATATAAGGTCAACATTACCGATCTGCTACAAGTTGTGTGGCATTCACTCTGAGATCCTTCATTCGCCACAGTCATCTTTTTTTATAGAGGCTTCCTTCCATCGTCAAGTCTGTGCACATACCGTGAAAAGGTAATTTGAATTACTAGTTGAGGAAGGGAAAAAATAGATTTGTCTTATGCTTGCACGTTTGTTCGCATGTTTGCAAATTTTGACCCTTACGACGACCATTTTTTAAATACCCTGAAATCTCGGCCATATCCGCGTGGTCATGTCACGCACTCTTGAATCGACATGCAAGGGTGAGGGTGGCTGGGGATTTAGCGAGGAGCTGGAATAGCTCAAAGGGGTGGGGGTTGGAGTCGCAATGCTAGTGATAGTGGTAGTGGCAGTGTGATGAGGCGGCAGTACACCAGTAGGATAATTAGTGTTTGCACGCACGAATTTCAGGAATTTTATTTACTCCCTTTCAACGGCGGACCCATATCAAAGTGGGCTAACATTAATTGCCTCCCTAGTGCGATGGCTCGCTCTCTCTCCTCCTGTCCCTCATCATCTTGATAGCGCATTTTCTTGCATGACTGGCAAACATGAAAAGACTAGTGACTTTCATCCATACTTTAAAAGAGCAAGATATAATTGAAAGGCACTCTTAAGAGGGAGACGTGACAGCATAAAGAGATGAACCTTTACATGTGTATGGAGATCGGAAGGCTCTCCAAACCAGCTATGGTTAACAAAACTATTAATTTATTCCATTAACTCAGTAAATTTTGGAGATTAAATATTCCGTTTAATTCTATAGTCAAAATGCGCGTGAAGTTCGGTGTCCACCGAGACAGTTATGCTTCAGCTTAGGCCATAATAGTAGCCGTCCCTACCCTGCACAAGTTAGTAAGTACTATATAATTCCACTCTACTTTTATCTACTACGATGTCGAGCATGCCTCAAGAAGCCCAAAAGCTTGACAAGAATGACATTTGACTCATAGGTTTGTTCAAAATATTGTTTTACGTCGTCAGGTGCAGAGATGAAACACAGAAGTGATACAGACGTTAATTTTGTACTTGTCGGTTCAAAGTAGATTGTTGCAAAAGTGCCTAGAACAGGCCTTCATGTAACTTATGAAATAAACAACTGCTCCTTAGTGTATTTAAATAAATATTTGTTTAAATACACCTATTTCAGGTGGGAAGCGCACAAGATGGACAAGCTAAGGTGACTGAGCAGACGTCAATGATGTATGAGGGAATTTATTTTTGACATTTGCGCTTGATTCATGCAAATCCCCGATTGTTGAAACCACTAAGACTAGCGAATTGGTAGAAGGAAAGCGCTACCCTCACAAGCCAACGCAAAACCTCATACCACCTTAAAACTTATCCACGAGAAGCCCTTATTGCTACATTTTAGGATGGAGGATGGAGAGTTGCTGCTTCCCACTCATCTCTTACATTATTCCGAGATCATTACCTTCATTTAAATTGGACAACAGTTGGAAACCTTAGTGAGGTGGGAACGGAGGATCGGGCTGTCCTTCTTGACCTTCAAAGATGTAACATCCTGTAAAAGTGAAGGCCATTAGGTCGTATCTTACCGGCAGTGGATGATAGTTTGTATCAAAAGCTGGTTTAATAAATAAATCTCATATTTGATGATATTTTCTGCAATTCCTTGGTTATCCTATGCGGTATTAAGCAGAACCGCTGAAAAAGCTCAAGGCCGATACTTCGGCATCTACAGGCAAAAATTGTTACACTCTTGTGGAGCTGAAGTTCTCCTTGATTGGTGAAGATAGGTATAAGAAGTAAAAAACAACAAGTTCATAGTCTTTGAAGTTTATTTTTAGCATATGACACCCATTTGACCTTTCCAGTTGATACTGTATGGGTATGATCTGCTTCTCAAATCGCTTAAACATGACATGTTAGCCGTCACCACTCTTTGTCTATGAATGTTGCATCCCTCCGTCGCGTACTCAGAAAATCTAAACACAAAGGTATTTTACTTTAAAAAGAAATCCAAGTATGGTTCAACAAAGTGGACAGGTTTGAAACGCGAACATCAGATTCAACCAAGTTCTTATGTAAAAGAACTAGAAATAAAAAGCGAAACAACAGAGGGTACAATAGAGATTCCTACACCGATGGACTGATGTATATTAGTGTTTAACAACCCATATGAACAATGACATCCAACAAACCATTTGGGAGGTAATTGCAGTGAAATATAGCAAAAATCTCATTAACTTTTTTGGTCACCTCCATGCAAAGTCTTGTCTTTTAGACTTGCAGAAGGCGGGATCTGTGCATTAGGAGCATCAACGATGTCTTAGCTAGGTGCATTTTTGTAAGCATCAGTCTGTCAGGCGCACCTTTTAATCACTTTTATATGCATGGAAAGGGCCTCTTAAAATTGGAAAATTCTTTTTTGCAGTTATTAAAAAAAGGAAAAATTTGCATGTTTTTTAATATCTGCAGTCAATTACATGGGATTATTTCCTTTATAACTAATTGTTGTCATTTAGCCAGACCCCAAAAAGAAACACTAGTGCTTACGAGTTCAAGTCAACGTAGCGAATAAAATCACAAAATTAAAAATTACAGGTTCTGGGAACTTCGTCAATAAATACAAAATGCATACTTTCTTTTCATGTGATATAAAACACATCAAGGGCAGAAGGGTTATGTTGTCGTTCACGTTACATTCTTAATAACTTGCCTCACGACTAAAGAGACTTCTATGAATTTTTTAAAAATGTTTCTTTCAGATCTTCTGAAATGGTGCTTCTAAGGTAGCATTATCTTTGAAGTTGAGCATTGGAAATTGAGTTGAGTCGCGAGCCAAAATCGTGATGTAAATTTCTTTAATTTTTTTGTAGAGCAAAATTTGGAACTGATTAAATCTACCAGATATCTTAGCAAATGAAAAATATTCTAACCTATAATACAGAACTGGCTACTTAACTACTACGTAGACAAGAGATTCGTTTAACTTCTTTTGTTTATTAAAAGCTTTTTGGGATTAAAACAAGATTTTAGGTTTATTGCTGGTGAAGGCAAATCGGTTGACCTGACGGAGAGGAAAATTCTTGTGTCAGGAATTAGTCCTGTTAAAAATTTTCTAAGTCACCCTGAAATGTCAGTGCAATACTAGTCTACCTGATTTAGTAAACAATCGACTATATGCTAACAACTTGATTAAAATAAGTTGTCAGTTCTTGCGCCGATTATTATGCATGCTTAATACAACTAGCTCCGGGCAATTGGCGAGTTGGTGACTGGCAATCCCATCGCTACTTAAGGAAGAGTATTAGGTCCCCCATCCACCGTGAATACGTTTAAAGGGTTGAAAATGCAAGCCTCTAGAATGTACCATTAGTTAATTACCCATTCGTTGCCGCTGTTATATACATGAGTGTTTGGTAGATATTTATTACAATTGCTAGTTCCGATTATTTTCCACCCACAATCTAAGCCAAGGAGGGGAAAAAAGAAGGAGTAGGAAGTACCTGCTAAAAGACAGACTTATAATATAGGAAATGATTCTTCATGATAAATAATACATTAAGGCACATGTACCGTAGTGGTCACAAAAAAAGGAGAATAAATCACGCTCATGATAGAAGAGCACGATCATCGTCTCAGAATGGGACAAGGTGAGGTTCTGCGCACATACCTCCCACTTCCCATTACTTTACCACCCGAGCCGGTGGCGGAGAGCAGCGCTGGCAATGAAGCACTAGAATCGTACATAATCATCGAGGTGGAGGCAGAAGAGGAGGCGGAAGAATTCATAATCGGATCAGCTGGGACACTTGAACGCTCAAATGGAGCAAACGCAAAAGGCAACTTTTCGTTAGGCCAAGGCCACGTAGTGGCCAGCCATCGCATAAGATCTCCGTTAGATTCACCAATGCGGCGGAAGATTCCCTCGGAGTCGCAGACTTCACGAAACCACACGGAGGAGGCTTGAAGAGTTAATGGACAGGCCAGAAGACGGAAGGGGGAGAGGACAAAGGCTGATGAGTAGGCAGAGTCGTCAGTCAGATTGTTCCATGCCGAAGCTGTGACGCAACGAAGCCAGAACTCTGGAAGCCACTCAATAACCTCAGTGAGAGTATCAAGTTCGGCTGCGTTGGAAACGCTGGAGGCGTCTAAACACTGGAAGGCGAACTGGGAGAAGCGCTGCCGTAGACAGCGACGCATGTATATGGATGCGCTTTGAATGTCAGCGAGGAAGGGAAATATTCTGGAATGGAATAAGTAATAAGCATCATAATATGGCCCCCTCAAAATGCCATTTTCATTCAGTTTGTTCAGTTTTTTAAGGCCTATAGGTAATGTTTATTGATTCTTGGGGTAAGCGAAAATTCCCCAATGTAATTCAAAGATAAATGAGCGTAACTATTTAGGATGTAGGGAATGGGTTCTAAGCTTATTCACAGAGCTCGCGTTATTTCACATACCCGGGACAATTTCGAAGTTTCGTGGGTTCCTCAGGAAAGATCAGTGTATCCGTGATTGCCAAGAGGAGAATCCTGAAAAGGGGCAATCACAGCGTTCATGATTCTCTGTCTTGAATAACGTTTGAAATTGTTCTGTTATGTTACGATTTCCAGCGCATAAATTTGCCCAAAATAATGACTAGACATTAAAACAATAATTCATAATAAAATAAGATGCCAAGAATAATCGAGAATTGGAGATATTGTCAAACTTAGCCTAGAATGTCGAATTGACTCCTTCTTTTTGCTGCCAAGATACCAAGCTCCTATTTCTTTTCAAAATAATGAATAAACTGCTGCCTCAAGCAAATCAACTTACAGGGCCTCAATGGCTAGATATCCTAAAAATTCGCTGATTTTATCTCACACTTTTGGATCGCTTTTATAAAAGCAATCCAATGCCAAAAATATCAAAGCACAAAGCAAACACCATAGAGTCACCACTTGTCCATTGTAATAAGAGCCGAAGTATATTACTCACTTGCGAGGGTGTGTGTTGAACCCAAGTTCTGTCATTATGTTTACTAAATCAGGAAGAAGAGATGGGGGCATTCGAAGGATAATGAGGCCCTCGACAGAAAGGAGAGCATTAAGGAGAACCTGTCGCAGCTCACTGATGGCGTTGGAAGATGCGCGGAGGTAGTAGTGAACTGCATTCGGCTGATTCGTCCAAAAGCCGGGGAACCTGCCGACAGCAAAAAAATAAATACTACTTATTTTAAACAAGTAAAAGTAATATCCCTACAGTTCAAGAAGCGCAAGGGCAATGGTAATCGATCTGCCGAACGTGAAATATGCACTTCGTATCTTTAAAAATCACATTCTGCAAAACTTTTTATTACTGTCACAAAAAGTAGTATAAGGGGAGAAAAACTAATTTCTTGCCATAAAACTTGATCACAATTCAAATCATTTAAGTTTCACTTGCATATTTGCCATCGAGTCAATTAGAATCCGTCCGAACTCAAGTTTTCCCGACCCCCTGGGCCCATAAATGACGACACACTTGTTGGCCAATAGCGATTCGATCATTTTGCCTAGCAGCGGGGCAGACAGAAGGGAGATCCATGCAATCGAGGACACCGCAAGGGGATTCAGCAAGCTCGGTGCTACTGGCTTCTCTAGTGCATACGCATTCTCATGCAGTGTGATCACTATGCGCAATATTTCATAGGCTGGGTCAATTCTCATCGCGCCGTTGTCGATGCTGTGAGGTGATATTTGAACTTCCCTTGGAGGTTGTCCACTATTCATTGATTGTGGTGTCATCTTGACACAAATAGATGAAATGCTGTCTGCGCTAATACCAATCTGGCCGTCTGAGTCGAGGTAATGTAGGTAAGTCTAAAGTAGATGTCAGATTTTAAAAAGCACTCATGCCTCCTAAACTCTTCTGAGTAGATCGTCTAATTTTGGCTCACATGGAAAAGATTCTTCACTTTGGCTAGTAGATCAGATGCAGACGTATTGAGACAAACCCTTCCTAATAGATGAAGATGTGACAAATCGTCAGTTCTAGACTCTTCCAAAAGCAATCGTGTGCTGATGTTAGGAGAAGTGCAGCCCATTTGCTGCGCCTGTTGCCCTGGCAATGATAGGTAGTGCTGACTAGGGCTGGAGGGCGCAGTTGTGCGTCGAAAGTTCTGTACATCATCGCTTGGTCGGGAAGGAATATCTTTGTAGCTCATTCTTAGGAAGACTGGGACGGCGTGTTGTCCAATTTCAGGGGTTACTGCAAAGAGTTCTACAACAAAGTAGAAATTATGTCTCAACCTGCTCCAGTTTCGTCCATTTATTCATTTTATATTACAACGGCAATCGCAATTAGGAAAAAACTTTATTCCCGATGCCATAAAAATGAAACAAGCGTCTATCATACCTCTAATTAATCTACTTATTCGAAGGGGATTAGCAACGAGTGAAAAGGCACCAGGAGCTGATGCAGAACCGACGGAGGCCTTGTCGGACTCGGAGGTGGCGAGAGAGCATCGATCGACAGCGCGTTGTAGGAAAGCGTTTTCAGCTCGTAGACAACGCACCTGATGCTGAAGCTGGCGGACCGTCTCTTGCGTCGCCTCCATCACCCCACCTGCATCAGTTGCCATACTCTCGCCACCCTCCTCCGAGTCCACCCTGCCTGTGGTCGAAGGCGATTCGCCACTTGAACTAGATGGGGAGTGACGCACGCTTGAACCGCTATAATAAACGTCATAAAAACATAAAAAGGTTGTGTCAAAATGTCATTCACCCTGGTTTGGTGGAATGGGCAGCTAATGAAAAAGTAAGTCAATAATAAAGTAAAAATGAATTTGTTAACAAATCACATCTCTTCTTGAGCTAATTTAATGAAAACGGGTTTGCTTTAAGAACATAAAAGGGACCTGCGGAAACTGAATGACTCCTTTTCCCTATAATCAAAAAAGACTGTGAAGTGTCTTCTTGTTTTGAGGCAAAAAAACTTAATAACTGCGGTAATAATTGTTAATAAGAGATGTGTTTCAAGGTATTTAGCAAAATAAAACAACTGCTACTTCACTAATTTCGGTTGAAACGATATTTGTGCATTTACCTGCTGGGACTGGGTTGGTTAGGGTCCTGTGATGAGGTGGAGGTCACCTTAGTGCGATCAGGAGGATCGCGACTTTTACTGCGTCGGAATGCGCGACTGATGGAAGAACGCAACTACCAGAGACACAAAAAATGGAATAAAACGGTTAATTGAACCAAATTGTGGCGTCAAAATTGATGAAATCTGTTTGGGCTAAAGGCCATAATGAAGTTGGGTTAGCCACTACTACAACTTTGCATCTACTTCTTCCATAGTAAGACAAGAATGTAGTGATTTTATCTTTTTTAAATCATGAGTTGTGCCTACAAGTGGGGGAAAAATATGACTTAATTATTTATGAAGTTAAATAGTACCAAATCGAAGTATTGCAGCCCTTCACTTGTAATCCACATTGTCCCATAACAGTTGCATTTGACCGATATTAAAAAAAAAAAATGAAAAACGGTGTTGGACGAACCCAGCCTGCTTTCTTATTGGCCCGATCCAAGGAATCGCGGATGGGCATGTAGCTGGGTGACATGAAGCCACGACCGGTGGAGTCGTGAAGGTACCGGCCCACCTCGCCATATGCCCCACCGCCACCACCAGTAATGGCATGGGGACCGTGCACAAGGCTAGATAGACTGCCTGCTTGTTGCAGCATTTCTGGGAGGCAAAAGAGAGTGAATGTCCAGGCAGTATTTCTTCTCTCTTTTTGTTTGTTAGTATTTCCACCGGACAATGAGTACTCATTTAAGAACACCTTAACAGTCCTCAAAATGTGGTAGTCAGGCGACATGAATGGGTATTTCATTCCTCCCACATCTGATAGGAGGAGAGGTTGTTTATGCTAACAGCGCCTTATAGAGCAAAATTTCCGCTATTTTCAAAAGATTGGGAGTCAATTTGTCCTTAATTAAGACTACTGGGTCGTTTAATTTGTACAAAATTTAACCTTGTCTAACCACCTGAGCTTTAATTCTAGGTCGTGGAGCCAGCTTCTATGCATCGTCTTGGTCTAAGCCCAGTCAATTTTATTTATATATCTGCAAAATAAACTCACAAGTATGGACACTGACACGCACGTCTTTGTGCGTGTTGACAACCTGACCTCACTACTTTGTGCGCCAGAGGTACCATACTCTCATTTTGCTATAGGCCAAATAGACCAAGAAGTTGATGGAAATGCAGGCTACTTCCATATTATGCTAGTATAACTTCAGCATACCTGGTGCACAGTAAATGTCAAACAAATTATTGTGTAGAAGAAACCCCTGCCTTAACAGCATCACTTGATACGTGAATAGATGAAAAGAATCGGTGAGAGAAGAAACACTTAGTTGCCTCTCCAAAAAAACACGCAGAATTGAGGATTTTACTAGTCTTTAATGTTTGAGGTACTTCATGTAATCTCAAGTTGACTACGATTTGTCCTGAAGGTAAAAACTAACCTGAATCAAGTATGTGGTGAGATTTAACAAACTCTTGAGATTGTGAGAGCTTCCTCCCATTCCTCGCATTCTCCATGGCAGGGGGCCAGTCATTCTGTAGAGCCTGACACCTAAATCTGTCGATAATTTTTCTCAGCTCTTGTACTTCCCTCTCCTGCGTAAATATAAAAGTAATAATAATTTACGACATCTTTTCTTCCACATTTAATCCATGCAATAATGAGCTGCTAACTATTTCTACACCCATTGTTAGTAGTATGATGTAGTTTGTTTTAGTAATTTGCATAAAATACAAGGAAACTGTCGCACCAGTTTCACTGATGATGTAGGAGTCAAAGTCGAAAAATTGACGAATATTTAGTTTTTGGCAAAACTAGACAAATTTTAAGTACTTTTTCGGAAATAAAAGAAGGTCAAAAATAGTGGCCCACCTTGAGTGCTGATGAAGCTGAAAGTTGATGCAGCCGTTGGTTCATGCTTTGGAGACTCTGTTCAAAGGCTTGAACAACGCTTGTCTAGATGGAAAAATCAAAACCAATTTCTCATCAAGTGGTAGACAAGATGGTTCAGTAATTGGTGTATAGCAGGTTCCATCAACAAGGTTTCTGTCAATATTTTATCAGGACACTTCACTAAAATACCCCCACGAAGAATTATCGCCATCAAATAACGGTGATATTAACCATGAAGTATAAGTTAAAGCTGAAAAGGTATGCCTTTTTAGATAGAAAAAAAATACATCCTTAGGTAGTATGTGGGTTGTGCGGTCAGATGTACACTCACATTTGCGGATAGCTGACAGGTGAGTGCTGCGACCTTCTGGTGGGCAAGTTCGAGTTCACGCCTTAATTTTGCTGCCTACAGAATTCGCAAAATATACTGGCTACTTAAATTTTAAAAGTACCGATAAGTGAAGAGTTCAGAAAGATACTCACCTCAAATGCAGAATCTGATGCCTAGGGAATAAAATGTGTAAGAAGACCATTAATTTACAAATAAATTATATTATTAAAAAATAAAGGGGCTTAACGGCCTGCAAATTGGTACAATTTGCCTCCAAGTTATTCTATATTTAAAGGAAATTACCTCGTTTAAATAACTTTTTATTCAAACCTATTTTAGTAAGTACGAAAGTGCAGCCAAGATTGATACTTTTGTTCGAAACTGTCACCTATCATTTCGTGTGATAAAATGAGGTGTTGGCTTGTTGTCAGATTCTTGTCTTTGAAGCAAATGGACAGATCTTGAAAAGCTGAGAGGGCAGGAGACACGCATGAAGCAAAATATTTGCGGACCAAACAACCACAAACGCTTAAATTCGACAAAAAAGAACGAAGCAAAGAGGATATAGTGGAGAAAAAGGAGGTTATAGTGGTAATGACAAAGCGATCATACACATATTTGTTCATACGCCATGGCCCAACGTTGCACAAACATCAGCACACAGGTATTTAGAGCATAGACAAGTGTTTCGCTCTCTAGAATGCGTAACAGCAGTTGTGTGGGATTTCAGGGCTCTCGGTTGCTGTTGTTAGTGCTGCTGCTGATGTTAGAATGATGATTCATCTCGCCTGTGGGTGCAACTTCGTAGCCCTCCCATTCACTGTGTTTCGCAGTTTGGATTGCATCAATTTTAGGATCTCGTTAGTCAACACGAAATGCGGGGTTTTGCATGTTTTGCGCATCGTTTGAACTCCGATAAAGGTAGGAAGAAGGCCCAACTTGTAGTGAATTTTGTTCGCACGATTTCAGTTTACCTAATTTTTTCTCAGTAAGCGATGGTTTACTGGAATGGGAAAAGTGATCCAGAAAAAAAATGTCTGCAGGTTTGAATAAATCCTTTGCATGACGCATCTAATGTAGGATTTTTTAATTAGTTATTTTTATTGCTCATATTTACTAGAAAAAGTTGTCAAAAAATGACTGTTTCAAACTGTAAAATAAGCGCTTAAATTAGCATTAAGAAATTTCGGACTCACGCTGAAATCAAGGCAGTAGTATCTTCACTCACTAAGGCGCCACTAATAGTATATTCATTTGAACTAAAAAATATGCCTTTTTGATTATGAGTGACAAATAGATTATTACAATACCATAATCTGACACCCATCAACCCTCTCTTTCCTCTTTTTTCTCCTCCTCGTAGGTAGCTGGCTCTTTTCTGAGTTTAATTTGAGCCAATATCTTAAATTGATACTTTGTTTAGCTACATATCTCTAACCATGCGGAAATATCAGTCTCCACGGTTTGTCATTGTGCTTTGTCTCAAGTAACGTACGCTACCTTGGCTTGTTATGGTTAGAGGAAGGTTGGGGTTTCTGCATCAGAAAGCCCTTTGAAAAAGTACCCGTACAACTTCACAAAATATCTTTATTAGAAAATACGTTTACATTCACTTATTTTGCCTTAAATACCGCAGCTCCAAAACTACTTCCCCTTGATTAGGAAAGCGACTGTTCTACTAGGTGGAAAAACACTCTGTTGTCCTTAGTGAAAATTCTGCAATTTAGCTTGAAGGCGGCATTTTTAACACCGTCTACTCTGGTATACAATTTAAACAAAACAAGGCAGCACTTTTTGAAGATCCGCTTGTACAACCGAACTGAAGCGACCGTTTTTTTGCATTAAACGCGTAATCTTCTGCTAGTGAATGTAGTAGAATCACTTCCGCCCTTTTTGATTAGAAATGCAAGCTACACCAACAGTAAAATTTGTGCCGAATTCCCTAAACCCTATTGGAAAAAAACAAGAAAACGGTAGGATTCATTGTCTTTTTTAATTATCTGGTCTTTTTTGCATCAGCTGTACTTTTAAGGTTTAAAAAGGTAACTTGCTGCTTCTCGATGCCTGTGGATTTATAAAAAGGTCGAGCAGTGAACCTTTCAGAGTACAATAAGTCATGGATATCTATTTATACTTGTTATCGTCACCTTCAAGTCCCGAAATATTTTTGCCAAGAGGAAAAGGAAGTGGAAGGAGATATACAAGTGGTAACCAACAGGGCGACCTTCAGACGAAAATGCCAAAGACAACTTTTAAAACCAACATGTGTATGCAGCGTTTTGGGTATCTCGGAAGCAAACAAGGCTCGGTGATTATGCTATTGCAAGAAAGGGAAAAAAAATTACTTCAGTGGGCCGAAATTTCCTCACTTAGCACGATAAATGTCGATGAGTGGCAAACAACGAGGAGGGGGAAGCTTTTGGCGGGTAGCAGTACACTTATCAGTTTGACAGAAGTAAATACACTTACGGTACTTTAGTCCATAAAAAGCAACAGCTAGCTACACTTTATTGCTTGAATGAAGAAGGCTACTTTGAGAATACCTTTTTTGTGAAAATAAAATTTTCATTTTTATTTTACTACTTACTGGTGACATAACAGAGCCGGAGGATGACAAGCTCGTATGCGAACCGAAAGCTGAAAATGCAGAAAGCTAGGTTAATGAGATTTTCAAAAAACACTAGAATACTTTGCCTTATTTTAGGCTCAAAATATCTTAAAACTTAATTACACAATGCGATTGTCAAGAAGCCATATTTTTTTATTTTTTTGACAGAAGCCAATTCTGCACCAGTTGGAAGGTTCCATTAACCACTGATTCGGCGGCTGCCTTAAGAGAACACTAAAAATTTTCTCGTTTTCAAAGTGTATCAGTGGACGAGGAAGGAGGAGTCATGACCTCTCCCTGTGCGCACAAAACAAACAAGCAAGGAGGCAGTCCTATGGATTATGCATCGGAGAAATAAATTTTGTTTGTCGGTTAAAGGTCTTCAAGATTGCCTTTTCAGTTAATAGATAGGAAGAATTATTTCTAGAAATAATTTTTGGCTGTCAAATGTTCCACCTTATTGTTTCCGCTAAGACCGACGAGTTGATTTACTGGAAGTAGTTTTCTTCAATTCTTGGAAAATATTCATCTCGATTAGATCACTTCTGGAGTTGTCTACGACTCCAAAAAAGTTCTTTTTTGCTTTTTTGGACAATTCTGACTTCATAGCTACTTTGCAAACATCCTAAAAAGGTGCTCTCCCTTTCAGTCCCTCCTTATCGACTCATTATCACGTGCAGATGTGCCTTAAATGTGCTACTAACCCTTATAAGGTCAGGGTCGATCAAATGGTATAAATATGTATGGCCAGGGTCATCTCGCGTCTTAGACATTCTTCATTGGCCATCTAACTGTCAAGTATGCACATTTGTCGGCAAAGTGGGCGACTTTGTCTACTGACTAGCCTAGGTAAGAGTTTAACAAGAGTCCAAGTTCACACACTACAGCTCTTCATAATACGTAGCCCTGAGATCAAAATTTATCAGCTTGGACATCGACTTGCTAAAAAATTGTCACCCTTGCTTTGCCGTTTCAAATTTCTTGAAATTGCTTTTTAAGGTATTTTGCTAGTTCACTACCCTTGAAACCTTTAGAGAGATCGGGAGGCTTTTTTCTTGATCGCCTATTTGCTCCCCGGTGGGCTTCATTTTCCCCAGTTGCCCTTGTCTGGCTTCAAGTTTGCTTAATCCCGCTCTATCTACAGGCATATATCTCGCTCTACCTCCACTGAAGGGTGAATTTCGATTTCCTTCTTCTCTCTATCCCTGTTTGTCTGAATTACCACCATGCAATTTTGCACACTCAAAAGATGCTCAAACCATATTGTCTGACTGCTTAAAAAGTGACCTTAAGTAGAAACCTCAATCTGGTCTGACATTTGGGATTTGAAAGATCAGATCTACGGTAAGAAAAACTATTGAATAAATCCCATTGAGTACTTGAAATTAGTATACAGATCCTTACAAGAGGCGACAAAAAAATTTGAACCCCTATCTTGCACAAATCCACCTGTATAATTTACACTCAGCCATTTTAAAGCATTCAGTTTAGTTGGTGAGAGACTTGCTTAATCCCTCAAAGCCTACTTGCAAAATCTCCCCAGCTTTTTTTGAAGCTGGAGGATACTTTCATGCCCTAACTAAATATAAAGGCTAAGCTTTTGTAGGAAAACTGACATACGATATGAAAAACTCAGGAGAATGCAATCTTTTCTCCTCTAACATTTCTTCTAATAGTGCGTAAAGTTTCCCCTATAGGCTCTTACAAAAAGTGGAAATTTTAATTCTATGCCCCGTGTAATTCAGTTTTTTGTCATTTTAATAATTTCTTCCTAAAAATTGACTTTTAGGATATTTTAAACAATATTGGCTTAAAAATTTCTATTTTCGTGTCCAGTAAACTGCCACCGGAAACATGATACATCCAATATCAGTTGTACAAAGGAATGGACCAGTTTTGATGAAAAAGATATTTTATAGCATGAACTTAAAGCCTGAACCTTGTTTCTTTAATATTGCGACACTTGGCGCAACTGTGGACTCGTTTATAACACAATGACATTGACATTTGGCAGAAAATTTTCAAAAAATATTAAAGGATAATAGTCTACAATTTGCTATCTAATCAGCATAAATTTTCCCAAAAAATTGTGAAAAATTCACGAAGCTAAGGCATTAAGAAGTTTTTTCTAAAAGCTCATTCAGTGAGACCGGATAGCAATGGACATTTGAAATGAATCATATTAAAGGTATCCAGGGCAGTTGTTCCCCTTCCCCTTTCCTCCTTCCGTCAAAAAATCATTGACTTTGTTGGTTTCTGTACTTTTAAAATTACAATAGCTTACCTTCAGAAATCGGTTGACCCGAACAAAGAGACGACTTTTCTCGCTTTGAATAACCTACATTGCCACTTCTTCCCGTCGTCTGATGCATTCTCTGCATCACAGGCGTCGAATAGGGTAGTTTAATGTGACTCAGAGGTCCATAACCTAACGAGCCCTCTAGGTGATCTTCTCCAGCTCCACTCAATCGCGGCGAGAGGCGAGGAGATCGTGGAGACATCGGCATGGTTGGGATTGTGAGAGTGTTGAATTCTTCCACCACTACTCGCGGCTTTGCCGCAACGGTTGCACGAGGTTCAGGAGTTCCACGATTTGACGGAGTCGGAGTATCATCAAGATTGGAAAAATTGCCTAATGTGATTCGGTTTTGGAGTGAAGCATTAGATTCCTTCGTATTAGCAGCAAGGGTGCAGGTAGATGTACTACTGGAGTCAGAAGTCATTGAATTGGCGGGAGGGGAATTGAGAAGGGTCTTCGAAGAAGCAAACTGGGGTGGAGGACTTAGAGTTTTGGCTCGGAGGGCTGAAATCTGTGAGGGTGATGCTGCTGTACCAAACTGACGGTCTGATCTGAAAAGGACGAGGATATCAAAAAGCCTTTAAAATTGTCGCTTCGGTTGGTTTTGAGGCAAACATTTCTGGTATTATGAAGAAACAAGAAGATGCGTGCATTTAGCCAAAAACAATCTGGGGTTAGTAGCTACTTCTTGATAAAGCTTTTGTTTGACTATATTCCAAATTGTTTGCAAGCACAGTATAATCCCAACATCCCTAGAAACGAGCCCCATTTTCTCTCATAAAGTTTCCAAAATAATTGTTAAAAATAAAACAAAATGATAACTTACAAGAGCATTTTTGTATTATGACAGCCAGTAATATGCTGTTGTTATCAAGTAAGCGAGACTCTTGTACTCCCTCATGCCTCAAGGGGGTGCTTTTAAATTACGCAAATTTTCTTCATCCCCTTTAAAAACTTAAAACTCTAATTTTTTCCACAATTTGGTTGAATGTATCAATAAAAGTGGTGAATTCACTTCCCGGAAGATTTTTCTTATCCCGGCATTTTGGGCCCTAAAGCACCTTTAAGCGGCTGCACCCGAGATTCCCTTCATCGTGGAGTAGAGAACCAATTCAAGAAAGGCGTTTAAGTAAGTGCCATCCTGACCAATAACTCCACAGTCTAGTAAAGACACCATCGGCTGGTTTTATCGGAAAGAAAAAAGATTCTAAAAGATAGTTAAAGTAGTGATCCAAAAATGACTTGAGGAAGAAACTGGCCAAATGCATTATAAAATATCCTTTTAAATAAGTCGGAAGTTTTTTTCAATTATCAAAGGGTGTATCCTGGCCAATTAAACTTTGATAAGGCTATCGTTTATTCGGTTATGATTATGTTTAGAGCTTTTTAGGTTTTGTCCGGGAATTTGGAACATCTCTCTATCTATGACAGGACACAAATGGTTGGATTCGTGCTCAAATCCAATTCAACCATCAGTAGGCCTTTTGTCCACTGCAGCTGCAGCAATCATGTAAGAACACGGCACCTGAAAGGGCACTATTTCTCCTCCAATTTTACTAAAACATTAAAATCACCGATTTTATTCACTTCTTTCATAAATTTTCACCTGTCTAAAACACATATACCTGAAAGAATAAAAAAGCTAGTTGGTGACAAATTATCAAAAATAAAGAAGTAAACGAAGAAGAGTAACTTGCTTTGCCATCGCCCTACTCCACCGTAAATCCCTGCCTTTACAATGTGATAGTTTACAACTATAATTTTATAATGTGCCACTTCACGGAGCCATTTCAGTATTCACAAATGCCACTCTGCACCGTCTTTGGCTACCATGTGATATGGTACAGTAAAAAGCAAGCCTCAGTCTATCATACAAAACCACCCAACCATGGAATAGGAGGCAGGTAGGTAGTCAGTCAGGGAGAGGGACACTTGTCCCCACACAGCTGCATATGGAAACTTATAGGAGTGCACGTGGTTTCCTGTCTCTGCGTACATGTGTGTTCATCTTTATTCATCCGATCCCCTTACGGTTAGGAACTGAACCGAACTGTACCTCTCTCCCTCTTATTTTTCCCTATCGTGGCAGTAGGACTGCTTCTTCGCCTCTTCAGTCAATACGCTTTTCCAGAGTGGTCCTTCTTTTCTGCTTCAAGACTCCTTCCTAATAATTTTGCTACCCTCAGGCAATCCTTTATTTCAAATGGTAAAAAAAAGCATTTTTTCACACTGTTGCAAAATTCGCCCAAACACTGGATAGTTTATTTGTTAGATTTCGTAATTCCCTAATAACTACCATGTCTGTAGTCTCGAACCCTTTCAGCAAGGAAGTCGCGCACAAAAACTCGCTATCTTATAACTACTGACTCATTTTTTATTCACTAGACTACCCTTTCCCCTCCGTCTTGTTTGAGATTTACTAGAAAATAACAAGAAGCGAGAAGAATAACTGAGAGCGGTGGGATTGCACCTTCCCTAGGAGGCGATGAACGCTGAACCTTCTCTCCCTCCACTATCCCCTAATTAAGCTTTGATGATTTGTAAGGCATCCTCTCCCGTACTGAGCAAATATGTCCCGCCTGACTAGTTCTCTTTATTCAAGGGTCTATAACCGGAGGCAGGAGAGTGAAGTAACAGAAGTGCTGTGGGATCACCCACCCATCCTTCCGGTTGTCAAATCAGAGGAATAGCCCCCTATTTTATAAAGTTTTTTTGAGTTAGAACTGTTGGAAGGGACTCAGTTTTTATGCCTATGGTGTGTGCAAGATTCTAGTGAGATGAGCTAGTATAGTTTGAAGTGATGTTTAGGCAGAATGACTCGCAAATAATATAAGACCTGTTACTTGGTTATGTGTTTTCTGCTACCAGAATGAGGCCTATGATTTGTATCCACTGTGAGTGGAGAAGAAATTCGGAAAATTTTTAAAAATTCCTCATCGGATTGGATACCTTTCTTATAATGATCCAAATTTAAGTGTTTGGCAAAAGATCTTTTGACCGTGAACCAAGTTTTCCGCATACTTTCTTTTTTTCGAATAAAGTGTTAATATACTGGCGCACTATTATTTTCATGCTCTCATTCTCTCATACAAATCCACTTTTTAGTGCAGCTTGCAAGACCGGAAAATCCGGCTACCCCTTCACCTACTTACCAAAAATTTATACATTACATGTATAAGTGCGTTGATTCATCCCTATTCTTAGTTATTTTATTACTTTCTGAAAAGGTATGCAGAGGCACAATTTTGGCCAACTCAAAGTGTAACTGGCTTGGCTCACTTGCATGAGATTTACGATTTTCTAGCCAAGTTCGCCAGATAGCGCTCAAATGAGTCATTTAGCTGAAACTTACTTGGTTTTTAATACTTTTTATCAAGGCACACTACTAAAGGTGCTTAATTAAATCATTGCGCTGTGGTTGTCTACAATCCCAGACAATATTTCCGTTCCGGTGCTCTAGGAGTTCCCATTTTCATGGCTAATTCTCGTACATTCTAGCACTTCGTCCCCTTGTCGCACTCCCTCCTAATTAGCCGATAGCACATACATTTAGGCTTTGAGTGTGCTGATGCTTGCCATAAGGTCAAGGCCGATCAAATACTATAAGTGTACGGGAGCTAGACCACCCTGTTTCGTCAATGATCTCCACTACTTGTTCTCCCGTTTCTTATTTATACGTGTTGGCAAAGCGGGTATGTCTGTCTCTAAGCCTTGTTTACTGTTTACTCTGGTCGGGAGGCCGACAGGGTCCAAACTCACGTGACCAAAAACTAGGCCACGACAAAATGAATTCAAGTGAGGTCAACGTTGGGATGTCTATTTCTTCTCCAGAGTGGAAGTACGGCTTTAACTTGAATAGAGGTACCTGTTTAAGCGTATACGACTAAGTCTTTTCGTTGGTACTCCTTATTCATGCAAAAGCAATTCGTGAGGATGTTTACCCTCAGTAGAGTGTCTGGTTTTACTAAATTGTCTCTTATTAATATGATATTAAAAATCATCTGCCTACTTATAATGGTATGCAAGTAGGTTGATTTGGCTGTTAAAAACCAAAATAATAACTAGGGCTGAAAGTCTTGATGTAAATTAAACAATGTGCTGAAAATCTCCCTTATTTGCAAATTTGCTTAGTGTCCCTGTAACAATAGAAAAAAAAAACGTTCTATTCGTCTTTCTAGAAGCCACCAACCTACATTGTCCCGACGGCTTCGATAGCCAGTCTGGAGGACGTTTCGGTCAAAGGAATCTGGGTCAGGTGTACACCACTACAATATCTTCTGGGCAGTGGGCAACAATCGCCAACTAAGAGTCGAGGAGTTGTAAATCAAAGCTTGCAGGATAAATACATATTTACAAAATATTCAATTACCCCGAAGGTAGGGAGCTATTCCTTGTGGGCTTTTCATCTGCATTGAGGATGTGATGAACCTTCTTCGCCAATACCATCACCTCCTTCTCACCTCGTGGACTCCTATCTCCTGCTAGGTTTGTGGGCCTTGGAATCCTCCCCGAATTTGTTGTTGCCAGTACCGCCATAGACGTTGAATCCTGTTTCCCCTGCATATTTCGCTTTTTCCTTTCCCTTTCCAGAGTTTCGGAGCACAGACTCGTGGAACGACCTACCCTATTACCCGTTTTCACCGATTCATTTTCGCCTCCAGTAGAAGATGAAGAATTCCAGCTAGCTCGAGGAGTCGCAGGAGATGATGTTGTGCTAGTCGTTGTCGATGCAACTCTACTTCCAGCGTTAACACTCTTAGCCATTCTGGCTCTGTTAAGAGTACCCCCGGTCCCACCACCACTTCCTCGATACCTCACAGCTGGTGCTTCAACAACCATCTTCTTGGCAATATGTTTCCCTCGTCGTGAAACACACTGAGGAGTCCTAAATCCACCTCCATTCAATTGGTGACTGTTGTTGAATTCATCGTTGGTGAAGGACTGAGAGGAAGTCGAAGAGTCCTGAGACATTATTCCACTGTCTCGAGAGGACGAAGAACTTGAAGGAGTTTTTGGAACTTCATCAGCAGGAAAAGTCTGCTTTGCTAAATGTCTTGCCTGCCTCTGAGTCATTGGAGTGGCAATACAGGACAATGTAGTGGCAGGAATCGTGACTGTTGGATAGGGAAGAACCATAGAAGCGTGTTGTTGATGATTTTGTTGAGGATTAGGTGTTCTACCAACAAATCGCGGAAATGGTCCACCTGGACAACACGGCGAATTCGGAACTGAGTTCTGCCGAATCATCTGAGGTGACTGAATTCGATAGAAGGGATAACGAAGAGCTGTGACCTGAGGTTGTACGATGCCTGTTGGTAGAGTCATTGAGGAGAAGCGTTGACCAGCAGGCGGTTCAACCGTTGATCCACGCATTTGACGGCTGTATGAGGACTGTTGCAGCACTGTAGCAACTTTTGCTGGCTTCTTTAAAGTGGAAAATTTCGTGGTGTCTTGAGGTGAAGCGGCTTTGGATAACATGATTTTTCCCTGGGCAAGGAAAATAGGGGGTTTAATCATATCTCCGACGTTTTTAGAGATTTGACGGCATCGGCTTGGCATTTCAGACTAACTGAAGCTCTCCTACCCTCTCTCCTAAAAATGAGCTTTCACTTGTGCACGATTGCTGGTTCAACTGTGGCGTGGATCTCAACATGCATGATCACTCCATGATTAGATCAAATAAGGTTACTTAATTAATCATCTGCCAGGAGTTAGTACTTGGGAGGACTATCTTTTTCCGTCTGGGTGAATTCATACAAAGGAGTAGGTTAAGGGATTCGTATTTCTGTGGCATTTTGTTTATCTTAGAGGAATTTTAGATTTCGATGCTGAGCTTTACCTGGTTGGATTTGGAAATCTATTAACTTACCTATGCTAAAATTTATTATCGCATTTTGTTTTTGTTTATATCCTAAAACCAACAGAAAAACAAGTTTGTTTACCTTAAAATGTGTCGATGTTTAAGGGAAATCACAAAAATTCGACAAGCCTTGAAAGGTTGAAAAGTCGTTTGCGAAGCCATTTAATCAGACAGCTATTTTTCAAAGTGAAGACAATGGGCTTTGGGACTTCTGTGTTGACCATGTAGCCCAAAAATGTTGTCTCTTATACGGTATTTAAAACAAATATGACAACCCTTTTTCTGCATCTTGTGACAAAGTATATTTTGGTAAATAGCCACAAAAATTCGCTAGATGTTGACAAAATTGACAAGCTGACATGGTCATATCCATACAATTCTTCATCCATATAACTGGACAAGTCTTGGCTAGAATCACTTGGTTTTACGTTTTCAAATGAACCGGAGACCGTGCTAGGATAGTTGCATTGTAGTGAACTGATACTTTCATTAACAATGTGTTTAACAGCGTGGGCACTTCAGTCTCCACAGAGAAGGTCGTGCCTCCTCTCTGTGGCATGGCCTTCGGACCATGCTTGTAGCATCTCAGCCCTTTGTCCGTTATTAAGTGGTACCTTTTTCGATGCTACTTTAGCTTATTACGACTTTGCAGAGGACTCACCGTGCTACAGCGCGTGTAGCATCAAGCAAATCCGATGCAAGGGTACAGCTCTCCCCGTGCTGTCACTGAAAGCAAACACTTGAGGTGATAAAAGAGAGGCGTCTTTTGCGGGTGGGCAAACCGGTAAGGACTTTGAACAGAAGTGTTAAAAATAACGTCTAACTTTGGCAACCACCTCAGCCTCCTGTTCAGCAGGAAGGCCAATAAAATCTGAAGGAAGCGATACCAGCCTTGAACCACCTAGTCTTAGATGAAGCCGAGTTTAAGTCTTTTCGCTTTAAGGAGTTATTTTCTACTGACACAGCTATTCAAAGTTTGGAATAAATAAACAGAAACTAGCAAATTTATCCACCATTTTTAAAGTCACCTTTGCATATTTAAATGGAAGTTTGGAAGCCCGATTTATGATTGGTAGATTTCAATGCTCCATTTCTTTTATTTATTCCTACTTTTATAGCTTATTGATACAACTCAAAAGCTTTGTATGCAGTGTTTTAACCATGGATTGGAATTTTCTTCTATTATTTAACCACGATTTTTAGGAAAGCCTTGTCAAAGAGAGCCTTGACAAGGTCATAGACTTGTTATACATAGAAGGGTATTTGGGCCACCATTGTGCCACTTGGCTACAGAGTGAATGTACATAGTTTTAAGTCCAAAGTAATGGCTACAGAGACTCCAATGTGTTTGGCATTTTGGGATTTATCGTAAAATTTCTGCTTATCTGCATGCTATTAGACATCTCGGAGGGATTTGGTCTCCCCGTTGTTTAAAACGAGAATTCTACCTAACGTAAGTATTGTTCGTCTCTGGGATTAAATCTTGAAGGTTGAAGACCTGCAGTGTTCATTTGTAGTAGTTTTAAAGACAATGCTGCGTAGGCAAAAAATGCTGCCTACCTTTTTATGCAAAACGCATTGAGCCTTCACTGACATTGTGGCATCTCCAAGGTAGAGTGGAGGGGCATACTAATAACTAACACATGGAAGGGTCGAAAGGCTACTCGCGTGACCCTAAGGCTACACAGAAGAAGGGAGAGGACGTAAAACCTTCTTTACATGAGACTGAAGTGGTCGCACAGATGGATTCACAGCTAAACAAAATATTAAGTTACTGCAACACCATTCAGTACAATTCTGTAATTGAAGGTTTTGTGTTTTCTGGGAAATTTTCTAACCCCTAATTGTTTTACAAAATTTTGGTTAGAAATTTCACATCGGTGTTTTCTTAAATAATCCGCCACCTGATGGAACAGAAGGATGAACTTGAGAGCATCTCGGTTAAATATGGTAAATACAACAGGAGTATTCGACTTTTGATTAAAGAGGTGAAATGCAAACCATGTAGCAACACCTTCACCTTTTTTTTCAACCTTCATATCCACTGTGGGCATAAATAGTTGGCAGATGATTAAATACCCGTCAGATCAGATTTGCATTTCTCTGTTTGTGTGCTTGCGTATATGTGTGTGTCAGAAGGAGCAGAGGGGGATAAATGACCTTTATGACCACGATTTACGCGGCATTTCATGAAAATGCGATTAACTCGGGTGGTAAATGTCATACCTATGGGTGATTGTCCTATTTCTTTGCCTTAAAGCTATATTTTTAGGGCTCACATAATCATTCGGTGCAACACTATGTTTCCCTGTGCAAGGAAGACTGTGGGTCTCGCTTTGAATACAGGGGTGATTCGGAGCCATGATTTTTATCCCTTCCCACTTTTATTTGAACCCAGTTTCACAAAATGTGTTATTTGTTCTTTCTCAGTCTATGATAACCAAATCGTGCGTTGCAAACTGTTGGTAAGGTTCCAGACATTACGTGTAATGTGCGATTTTCTTCGACGTATAATAAACACATTTTAGTTTTTATGTTGTTAAGCAGCATTTAAAAGAGTCGCTTCGGTGGTGCAATTTTCACTACCGCATTAGAACGTGACAAGATATTGTTTGTTCTCTGAGGACTGGTATTCCTCTTGGACTTCGGTAGTCAGTTAAAAAATCGGTTTAACAGCACAGTTTTAACAGGTCATAAACTGCTATCTATGGCTGTTTGCATTCGCAGCCGGATATATGGAACATACCCGTTATAAAAGTTACGCATCTACTAAATATGATACCTTCATGAGAGAGGAATAAGTGAATCACTTCTAGAAGATGGTTATTGATGATACGCTGACGTCTTTCTAGCTTGCTATCACTCTCTTGACGTCTCTGAACTCCTTACCACATCCCTGTTCTGACTTAGACAGGGGTATAAACCCAACGCCACCTAAATTCTAAAAATTGCGCTAAAATGCAGAATTTTGGACTCTTGAAGAGAATAGTTTTTTTCTTGAAGTCATACTATTAAAAGTAAAGGTAATGGACAAGAGTACATAGAAAATAATGAATTAAAAGCATACGTAAATTGTTTTTGCAAGTGAGAAGAAAGGCCAGCCCCATTTTCGGTAAAGTTAGCCGTAATGACCTGTTGTAAATGGTAGAGACACGTCAAAAGCAATGCAGTGCGAAGCGCTAATCCTTCTTATACTTTCTACTGCCTCTTTTTTTATTTAGAACCCTTAGGCAATAAAAAGGGTGTGAATCAAATAAATCTCTTGGGGATTTATCACGCCTCCTTTATGATTTCAACTGTCAGGGTAACACCATTTTTCGGGCTCAAATTTGACAAACGCACCTCAAAGCTTCCAATTTCTATCATAGAGATATTTCCAAGCGATATTTTACACCTATAATGTAAAATAAGATGTATCGGTTGATTCACCATCACTTCAAACACAGTGAACCCCTTTTTTCCAAAAAGCATTAAAGATATTTTACCTAGAGGCAGAAGTTACGGCTACTTCTTCCCTCCATTATTCAAAATAAGTTTTTTTTAGAGTTTAAAAGATCTTATGTGATGTAGGCATTTTACTTTGGGACCATTGCCTTGATCACTTATGAAAACTTAAATACGAAAATTCTACATACATAAAAGTTATCTATTGTAATGGAGCCCATCAAGACCTTAGAGGAGGGGGCTTGTGTGCTCTGCAGGATTTTGACGAATTACCAGGCAAGCCGAACTACTGGATTGAGGAAAAATAAGAAATGTGTATCAGTGGATCCAGACTGCCAGGAAGTGGCCTCGTCATGAAATCGCTTTTTACGGAAACCACTAAATGTCGTGGTGTGTACAAAAGGTCATCTATTCCGACATTTGTGTGGTAAAAGTGAAAATCTTCCGTGGTAAGTAATCCACTTTTTATTTGTAAACTTTTTAAAAACGATTGCTTACTGCATATCCTATCGGGTAAATTATTATTTGGTTCTTAAACAAATCGAGTCAAACTTTTACCAGCTTCAAAATGCCGCCAAGCATCACCACTTTTGATCCCACTGAAGGGAGTTTGTAGAGTTGGAAATTATTTTAAAAGTAGATGTACGAGTGATTGAAAAGGATTGTTGCAGTATTTAATAAAGCTTCCTCAGGTGTAGAAGCCTGTAAAATGTATGTGAATGTTTATATTTGCGTATTTTAAGACATTGATGGAGTGCTCTGGACTTTTGGCTCAATGCGACCCAGCGCGGTACTCTTGCCTTTCCTTTCGGCCCATTTGGAGCCCTGGTGTAATAAAAAAGACGTCAATGGAACAGATCCAAAGAGATTTACTAAATCTCGAAGTTGCAAAAGCTTTTCCTATGATATTTTTGTAGCCATCTTGACAAGATGTGGTAAAAGAAAGTATAGGTTAGAATCAATCAGAGAACTGAAAACCAAAGGATTATGCATTGTATCACCTTTAGCATAAAGTAATTTTTTGTTTAGCTCTGGTGGCGTAAAAACCATCATCCTACATTTACATCCACTGGTAAGCGAAGGTAGCGGTGGTGGGTGCCATTAGGTGGATCAGACCCATCCTGTGAGAGCTGTGGCATTTGTTAAGAATTTTATGCTGCATCACAGGGCTGTGATAAGAGACGTCTCTTATGCACCTCTCACACACAATCCTTCATCCCATATAACTAGCCTGGCATTGAGTTCACTGCTGGTAGACTATAGACGCAACCATCTACTATGAACCGCTCACCTGCTGAAGGTCCTATAGATATTACAACTGATATCTGTATGCTTGTTATATTTTAAAAGGACTCACTTCCATCTTCTTCGCATTCCATCTACTCTTCCGATGGGATTTTTCTAAGGATACCTATCGGTTTCTCTTGGCATCAGCAGTGGACAATCACATGGCCACACACAAAACAGAACGAACAAATGAAAAATACAAGTGGGATGACCGAAAGGAGTTGGCTAGAGCCGGTCTTCATTCTTGACTTCTGCAGGCAAGAAGGGATTTTGGCACCCCAAGGAACGCGTTTTTGGATTATAATAATGGTTGCCATTCCAATGAAAAATTTGGCTTTTGTAATGCCTTTCTTTGCTTATTTATTTGGTTTTTATATTCATTATCCGTGCAAACTTATTCGGTCATCTATCCAAATGGCAGATGTTTAAATGGTAGGCTTAATTTTAAAATACACGTCCTAAACTGACGTCTTAAAAATGGAGCACCGTTAAGGAGAAAGCTTTTGCATCCACTAGTCAATATTTGCCAGGGGAAACATAGCTTAGTTGAATGACACTACTACAAATCTTTGTGTTTTGTACTAAAAAAGACTAAAAGACACTTATTTTTACTGTTAATTCTACCCAAAACTTGCATTAAGAACTGCATTGTCTACTTATAAGGTGCCATCCACTCTCCTAACGTGGCATTTGCATATTCACTTCCTCAATTTATTTGCCTTGAATAAATTAACGTAGATGAACAGAAAACGGAAAAGTAATTCAAAAGCCTAATTTCCTAAGAAATACGTTTAATACATTTTAAATCGCATGGTTAAGTGCACCTTTTATAGCATTATCCAAGACAGAAAAATCGTCCCTCATTTATGTATCGTGAACACTTCATGCTACTAAAATCGCCCATGAGTAGCTTAGGGTTTTCGAACTTATTTCGAAATGCACTACTTCAATTTTGCGAGGAAAAAGGATTCTTATGAAAAATAAATTTTAGCAGTTGGTTTATTTTTCAAAGTTCTAAAAGTACTCAACCTTTTCAATCTAACAGTACAATAAAGTGCTGACGCCGATGTATCCAAGCTATATAAAAGTAACTACTTAAATGGCAGGTGGGTCGGGAATGATTGAAAGGTATTATGCTGAATGATTTTTAAAGTTTATCGTTAAAAAGGATATTTAGATTTCGTGGCTGGTAATTTTCTTCTTTGCAGATTGGTGGTACATTTGTAGGCAGTCCCTGAGAATAACCGCACTTTATTCATGCAGTACTAGACAAACCATACTGGCAGAGTTACGTCTAATTGGCCTGTCCTTTTTTCTTCGTTTTACATAATTATTGTCCTTTTGGTGATAGCTAAAGCGTAGACACCACCGAATTCCTTTCGCACTGATAAGAAACAGATTTTTGTGAGGACTTCTATAAAGTCATGCTGGAGTTTAAAAATTTGGTCATCGTGCTTATAAGTCAAAAGTTATCAATGCAATGGCTCTCGTCCTTCATGCTTTTGACTAAAAACCTTTTTCTTTTTGACCCTCAATCCTAGCTAATGTCTTTTTTAAAAATGAATACTAAATGGGGCCATAGTTTGGGTATTATCTCTCAAAATTTTGCGTCCCATAACCAAAAAAGTAGCCTTATATTTTTGTTAGATCAATGCTTAGAGCTGGAATGAATTGGTTGTTTGCTTTTCTTCTCACAGAATGTGCCTTGCCTAAAATCAGGTCGTGTTTTTGCAGTCAGAAGAAAATAAATAAATCAAATGTCAGGAATTTCTATCTCCTTTACTAATTCCAAAGAATTTCATTATATTTATGCAAAAAGAAAATGAAAACAGATTTGTGTGGTGCTAATTTCTCCTTTCCTGATTAAAATTAATGAAGAGGTCTTGAGGTGTCCGTGATAGGTCAACCGGGTCGCATGATGACTAGGATTGGAGGCATCATAAGGACGTAATGGTTCTTGATCTGCCCACTCGGTGGTGCTACAACCGTCTTTTAATCGTTACACTCTCCCGCACAATTCGATGAATCACATCTACACACACACACACACGTATCATTAATTCGCAGGTGCCGGGGTCATGTAGACACCTGTCGAATGGACATAGTGGGATACAATTTCACCGGCTAGAATTTGCCCCCATCTTCTGTAAAGGTTAAGCCTCCTCTCAGCTAGCTTGAATTTTACCGAAGTTCTTAATATTTATAATAGAGGCGGTAGACTTCAACAGATCCTTTTAAAAAAAGGCATCTTGCAAAGTGTTTAACTGCACTTTTTAATAGCAAACTAATTACAACAAAAAGGCCATGTTAGAAGAATACAAAGCAACTTAAAGACAGTGAGAAAACAGGTCTAGTTCAAGATTAACCGTCTAGTGGCACCGTGATTTTTGTGATTCTAATAAGTTCTTCCCTCTTTTCTCCCTCTACTTCGATGTTTTGTCAGACCATTTGTGGTGCTCTCAAACGTTGCGCTAATCCACGAAGCTTGGCTGCATATGTTACTGGTAATAAGCCCGTTTTGTTTCTGTAATCCCCCGTCCCAACCTATGAATGCTAGTTTGCTCTCCCTATTCGTCGAATATGCCTGTTATCCCTACTTCAGGTTGACATCATTTGTACTGCACTGTAGTAGCAACCGACTTGACGTGACACACATCAACGCATTCAACAGAAGGGCCTCCTTACGATGGAAACAAAAGAAAAAAAAACGGTTTTTTATGTTCTAGAACGATCTTTAAAAATGAGGCGAATTGTCCTTTTTAGAGTTATTTGAAAACACTGAATGCACCAATCTCTAGACTAAATGTAAATAAATGGGTGGCTTAAAAGAAAATGCACACATGACATGCAGTAGGCAGTTTCTCCTCGTAAATATGTTAGCGAAGCAAAAAAGTTAAAAACAGACTACAGCATTAAAACTTGTCCCAGTGATGAGGGTTCACTCGACCATTCGCCTTCCCTTCACAGAATAGGCGAAATTGATGCCCCTAAAAAGGGAGTGCTTCCATGACATAATCTGGCAGTTTCTCTACTTAATAAATGATGTGCTTAGCTGATTAAATTTCTCACCCAAAAATCCAAAGCAAGTTCCAGAATTAATGTGCTTCACAAACAACTGTCAGGCTGATTTATTGTAAAAAAAGTCATTTTAACCCCAACATTTTTTGCTTTTTTCTTCTTAAGATGTAATTCTTTGTGCATTTTTGCATATTATTGAGGGATTCTTTACATAAAAGGCGTGATTAAAGGCAACTCGAAGAGGTTGGTCAGTTAATTAGCCCTGACTTCCGCATTGGAATTCCACTTTTTAGAGTGGAGTGATGCCGTAACAGTTGTGGTGATTAGTGGATTGGTATCGTCAGCATGTTCAGCTGAATTCCTGCATCAATCTTTAAAGGCTTTTTTGTTTTCTTTTAATCAACCGGCTGAAAAAATGTGCCGATTTCTGTTTTTAATGCATTCAGTAATTCAGGAATTTCAGAGTGCTGCCTCTATGAATGTGCGATTGTCTTTGGTGCAGCTTCCCCATGGCTCATAGTCAACCTTCTAATACGCTGAAAGTCACTTTGCACCTTTAAAGGAAAAGCCGATTAAATGGGCATAGGTTGCAGTGTTGCAAACTTTTGTGCTGTTTTAATGTCGGAACCCTTCTATGTGGGGAAATTTTTTTTCAATTAGTCCCATTGCTACCAGAAATACACCCAAAGATGCCACAAAAATCACAACTTCCCACAATTGCATGATTTTTCGAGTGTTACTGATGTCAGTAGAGACAGTAATCAACCAAACAGGGTATCTTCATATGAAGTAAAGATACCAAGAATATTTTCAAAATGTTCTTTGGAAATCAAACATCCGTTAAGAGTAACTAGCATTAAGACTATAGGAACTAAAAACCTGTCTGATTTACATTGTTCCCTTTAAAAATACATTTTACAAGCTAAAGTGAGCAAGTCAATCAAGCTGATTGACCTACACAATGTGCCCGAGGGTGGTAATTCAAGCCGCTGGGTGCTAAATTCTACACCGACTCTCTTCCAACCTTAACACCTATATCCCTTGGAATCGTGGACAAAAGAATGAATAAAGTGTCGGTTGAGCGGAGGCAAAATATTCAACTCTTGGTAGTAATTTTACAGCCACGATCTCTGTTTTTTCTTTACGACTCCCTCTTCTCTACTAACTGTTCCTCCATCTTCCATGTATACGCGTGCCTGTGTAGGTGTCTTCGTACCTTAGCACAGGTTTAAATGAAGCGTTTAAAGAGAAAAATGCACTACCCCATGACTTCCACCTTGTTATGATTGGCATTTGGGGTCGTTCAGAATCGTCTGTACCGAATCACTCCTGATTGACAGCTCCCTTACAAAAGGCTGATTTTCGAAGAGGCATCACAAAATGGCAAATCACTGTGCAATAAAGATGGTGAATGAATGAGGTAGATTTTATCCTCGAACTTCAAATTTGGGGCAGATAAATAGCAATCTAACTAATCTAAGTGATGGGATAATCCACCTAGCCCATATATGGATACACTTTCCTAAAAAATGGATTCAATTTCTCTCCACTAAACGTAGCTTTTGATACAAAGGCTGCGAGAAAAATGGATGACTTTCCAACAACCAATTGCACTAACCCTGCAAGTTGTATTATGAATCAGCTTTCAGGGGATAGCACCAAGCATCAGCGTATAATTCTACATTTTCAGTGCTAAAACTGATTCTCTAAGTACTCATATTGACTCCAAAGGACTTTTTAACCTTCCCTTATTGCAAAAGTAATGACAACCAGCGATAGAAATGTAACATCTAATCTTATCGTAAACATTCGTAGATAATGTTAATGCGTTATTCAGACAGAGACCTAGTGCGTTTTGGGTAGACACTCCCAATGATGCCGTCTGGACGGTGTCCAATAAATCTAAAATTTACAATACCCACGGATATAAACTCTACCAGCAATAGACTGGAAGCGTCTCATGTCTACCAAGAAGAACAAAGGAAGTAAAATGTATTTGCAGTACATGTTTGCTTGAAAACACCCTTTCAATGACATGGGATAAATTTGTATTAACCAGTCCCTAAAACGAAGATAAAAATACCGATAGTCTCCCCCTTCCACCCCTAAAAGCTAGTTTGTAAACTTCCCATTCTAACTCATATGAAATGTCTTTTTCTAGCCAAACTTGTTTGATCCAGGAATTTGAAGACTGAGGTGAATGAGAGGAACTATTAAGTTAGCACAAAATTTGTCGTCCATTTTTAACTTTTCTTGCACTATTTTGGCACTTCGCGAGTTTCAGACAAACCTTGTCAAGTGCCTTCATAACTAACTTACTAGAAAGGGCTTAAAAATTTGTCTTCTGCTAAATTTTTTCCCTTGAAAGCTTGTAAACAGGTGTGGGTAGTTCACTGGGGATTATCTTTATCTCTCCAAGTGACTTGATTAACTTTTCCAGAGGGCAATTTTTGGTACACGTTTGTGCAAAAGTTTTTGCTCTGCTTGCAAGGTTTCTGCAAAACTGTTGACTTTAAATTGATTTGGTTTTGGTTTTTTGCTGCTTTTTAAAAACAAGGGCCACATTTTTCTCCGGACATCCTACAAGGTAATATGGAATAAAGCAAGCTGCTCATTAATTCTGAGTTATTCTATAAAAATCATTTACAGAACTTTAAATGTTTTGCTGGTGGCTTCAAACGGTTTTGTGGACGTTTTAAATTTCATGTCTAAATTGAAATTTTGCAGCTGAATGCGATTTTCAAAATTGTATTCACCTACAAATTAGTTAAAAAGGAACCAATAAAAGTGTCCCTCTATTTTTCTGATAAATAAACAGTTATGAGAAGCATCTGTAATCTCCACTTAATCTGATACAACAGCTATTATTTTGCCTCAACTGGTTTTGACCAATCAAATATCCGAGGGATTATTTTGATTAATCTCCATTATACGGGATATTCTGACTAGCCAATAGGAATTTTGCATTCCATAGAAGATCTGTGGCTCTTGGTCTGAGTTAGAGATATTATTTTATCAACCAAAGATAGCTGTTCTTTTAAGTAGGCGAAAAATGGCGGTTCTTAGAACCAGTAAATAACAACCTAAAAGGCATTCAGATAATCATGTAAATACAAATGCCATCGTTTTTTGGCCTCCTTGATTACAATTTTATAGGCGTTTTGTGTGTTGCTGATATCACATTCCCTAACGGCCTCTTCCAACTAGTCTGTCTGAAGTCGTTTTACATCCCTGTACTGCACGACAATAAATCACGTCGGAGAAGTGGATCGGTTTGCTTTATCACTTAACACTTTCGTAATGTGTCAAAAAATCCAGCTCTTTGGATTTAAACATTTAGTTAATTAACTTAAAACCAGTCCACAATAAAATGAAAAATTTGCTAGTTATAGGAACAAAGAGAAATAACCCAAGGTTGTGAAAATCAAGTAAGATGGAAGGGGAAAGAGAAGGGGATTGAGGAGGCGCTGGATGTTTCGACATTAACAGTGGCATTTTGGAAGATCTGAGAAAAAATGGCCAGATCTTAACCACCAAAGGTAATAACAATGGTTAAATTTTCGCACGCAAGTGTGTGCATCTCTGAACACCAAGGTGATTCATGGAATCTCAAATTTGCTCCTACCTTTTTGACGACGCAAAAGGTGAGATTCAATTACACGGTCCCAATTTGATTATCTGCACCTCTTGTTGATTTAGAGTTAAATAAAAATTTGAGCTCTGGACAAAAGATTTGACGATTTTAAGTGAGTGCTAGACATTTAACGATACAGTCATGCATTCTTGTCAAGGCGTCAGATCATTGGTCCTGTCATTTATCTCATGGAAGGGCAGGGATGCAGGAATGCGCGTTCTGTCCCAGAAAAGGGTTTTATTTAAAATTCCAAGTTGTACACAGGAATTTTTATGTGATTTTGCAATCTCAAAGAAGGGAAACGCCTGATTTATTAGCAGTTAGAACAAGTGGTGGTTATTTCCTCTCTAGAAAAGGGAACATCTAAAGTGCGCTTAAAATCACTGCCTATGAGGGATTGGTTAAGACGGTTAGTTGATTAATAAAATCCCAAGGAGGTACTGATCATTTCGTAAACAGTCAGTTCTTGACGAGTCTATAATTTGACAGAGTTTATAACTTTTAAGTGCAGGAAGTTGTTTTTGATTGTATGATCATGATTTAGGGCACATCCGGTGACCTTGAGCCTATGCAAAATTATGACGGGGTAAGATTGCTCAAAAACTACTTATTTTGTCTGACTTTTTTGTCGTGTTAAATATACGTGGGGAAAAAACGCCTAGTTATTTTGTAAGTACGAATTTACTTTGAAGTATAAGACCTCGAATATTCCGTTTCAGGAAAAATGTCTACATGTAGTTCTTATAAATCATTAATAATAAATTCCATAATTTTCTTGCTTAAAATGTCAAATTTGATGGTAGCAACTGTCTGGAGGTCATGCAACACTTGTTCTAAGAATTTTTCCATAAACCCATCGATTCAAATAATTTGCACTTTTCGGAAGCAGGCAAGTAAGAAGCAAAAAAGTATTTGGATAATTTTGCACTAGATAATCCATTGCATTTTCGAAATATATGGCTAAATACAGTAAAAATCTTCCCAAAAATTTATGATTATTTATGCGGTATTCCTATCATCACCTTACGTGGCTACTTCGGCACGCCATACCAATCCACATTTGCGTATCTGTGTGTAACATAAAAGGCCTCCCGAAATCCCCGCGCGATTTATCTTGCCGATTCACGGTCTGAGCTCGCTTAAATTGGGCAACATTTCTCACTACGCTGGAAGGCTAATTCAGCCAAAAATCATTTCGCTGACAAATATGCCTTTTAGGTTTGTGGACTCTAACTAAGAAAACTGTGGGAGAAAAGGTCGCAGCCTACACGTTGACTTTTGATTTAAAAGTAAATTTTATTGCACAGCCAGAAGTAAATCACATTTTTATATGCCATTAAGCCTCAATCAGAAGAAGATCATACGTCCGGCGAATTGTTGCACTGCTCAGATGAGTCAAGTCTGTGAGTAAGCCGGTTTAATTCTAAAACAAGTTTTTGGGTGAATCCTCAGGCCCAGAATGCTACAGTGGACTGGGTCCGCAGGGCACAGAAAATGGAATTTATTATATATCATCCTACGTGGCACAGTAAATTCACTGCCTTCTGTGCACGAAAGTACGCAGCGATATTGCATGGCGGAGTGAGGCATAAAGTGTTTCTGGGGGAGGTGCAATTTCTGCAACGTTCACACGTTCATGATTATTAAATTAACATTGTTTGGGGATATTTTGAAAAAAAAGAAACATGTTTAGAAAGAGGGCTCTTGAGGAGGGTTGGTCAGCCTGGAAATGAAAAATTGTGCATCAAAATACCACTTTGTATCTTTTTAGTCACTCGATGTCATGAGTGTTTTTGAGGGGGAAAATCTACCTCACGGTGTTGTTTTGCCAATTGATTAGCTATGTAGGGACACAAGTGTTTCTTATCTCCCCATTTTTGGGCCTATTTCCGCAACCCTAGGAAGCATGTATTGTCCACTAACCTACAGACCTAGTGTTAACCAAAGTTGGAACGTGGTTCACGTAGTACCTTCACTAGATTGCATTTTATCAGGAGTTTTGAGAGTAGGTGAAATCTTCTGATAAAAATATGCACGTTTAGATTTCTTACCCAAGAAGACATTTCCCTCATTTTACTCACCTTGGGTTTCAAAAAACCTATTATAGTTTGGTTTTGAGTCGTGTTTTCTACGGGAATACTTAAAAATACTCCAAACGATTTACCATTCTAAAAGTTCCCTGGTTAAATTTTTGTTTTCTTTAGAGCAGCTGGAAGTAAATAAGTATTTGAAGTCCAATTATTATTATGACTAGACCTGGAAATGGGCTGCCGAAAAGGAGGTTGAAAGCAGTTAAAAGCAATTGAAAAAAAGCTGTTCAAAGAAATCAGATTTTTTCTTAAAGACTGAAAAACGTTGTGAAATTAAATTCTCGAATAAAGATTATACTAAGCGTTTAAAAGTTTGCCATAGCAACGTCAGTTTTTTGCTTTTAGTTAGGTGTGATTGATCGATGACTCACAATCAATTATCGATTTTCACTTTTCATTTGTAAAAAGCTGGCCAAAATTTTTCGTCTTATTTTTCATTAAAACACATTGTAAAATGTGTAGAGGTCATAAATTACTGAAAGATCACAATCTCTTTGAAAAATGCTTTCGTGAAAATCTAAAATGACCCCCAATTCTGAGCCCATGAGGAGGTGATTTAAGCAAAATGCGAAGTCACAAACAAATTAGGGTCCAAAAATTTTGGAGAAAACGTCTTTTGTAATACCTTAATGTGTAAATCAAAATCATTTAAAAACAAGTTAGGAATTACCATTGAAGATTAAAATATTAAATCATTAAGGGAAAACGTACAACTGCTTATTCCCTCTGACGATGTAGTTGGTCGCCGTTGATGATGTAAGAGCTCCTTGCTCGTGTCCTCAGTTGCTGCGCGATCAACGAGCCCCAAATCGCTCTATGACCCAGGCTGACTAATACCAGCCTGGCAGGAGGCATGGAACCACTTGGCTCATTTCGAACGACCGGTGTTCGTGTGATTGGCTAATTACCGTGCGTACGTGTGTGTGCGTGCATGGATGCATATTTTCCACCAGGGTGCTGATGTGGATGACAGTAAATATATAAATAAAGTAGTTTTTGCAAGCTTTTTCTTTCATTTCTCTCTCTTTAAAAGGCTACTCACCAGAGGATATTTTAGGTTTTCTGAGAAAATAACGATATGTTATACTTGCTAGGATAAAAGGATTGTGATGCCAAATACCTGCATAATTGTGCAGTCAAGTAAATATTTGCACCAAGTACCAGAAAAATAACCAACAAGGGAGACGCTAAGACACACTTTGTAGGGAGCTGCTTGACAGAGGAAGTGCATCGGATGCCAAAAAGATGCACAAATACCATTAACAGCCGCTGATGTGACCCTCGTTTCTGTTTCATTGTTGATTGCAGTCTAGTGAAACATACTGCAGCTGAAGTAGAAGATCGGTCCTTGTAAGGACAAAGCTTAAGTGATGGGTTTATAATTTGACTGTAAACTTTAATATCAACGATTCAGCAAGGCGCTCTTTCTCTCCCGCCATCATAAAGTCATCAGGATTAGCTGGGAAGCTAAAATATTACCGTGGATAGATCTTCGATGATAAGCATTCACTATGAAGAATAATGGGTGGTAGTGACTCCAATTTTACTAGTTATCCGAATTTTCGGTTGATACGGAATGCTTTTTATCTGTATAGGCTGAACTCCCGACATGATATGCTTAAGGAATTTCGAGAACTTAAGAATCAAATACGACACAAACACGGTAAAGCTTCACGTTTTACACTGTAAGGAATAGAAAACAGAAAATACTTTTCTAGCACACGAATTTTCTTTGAGAGAATGGTTAGCAAATACCGCATACCTCCAGACAAAATGGTAACTAGCGTAGGCAAAATTCGTGAATAATACACTATCCCTTGGCTTTGTCCGTGGACAATTTCACAAAAATATTCCAGCCAATTGCAGTCAAAAATATTTCCACCTTCTTCCCTTTCACTCGCTTCACTACCGCTTCAAACCTCTATCAATTTTAAATAGATCTGTTTGCATGTGTGTGTGTTGAATGTGAATCACTGCTTTGCAGTAGGCAGACTCCGATTCTTCTACATCACGGATAGGAGGGGTTCTTTGTTACCTTCGCTTTACCGATACATAGAGGTCCCAGGTCTGATTAATTATTAGTTTAATTATCAGTGGGTAATCTTTCAGGATAAATTATTATCTTTCCATTTTGTCACTTGTCTCACCTTACAAGTGATTGGCCGGAAAGCATGAAACCATAGTCAGTTAATTTTGTACTGAAGTATTTTTCCATCCTTTAACCTAGGCAAAAAATTTAATTTCTGTTCTTTTATTAAATAGTGTGTAAAAAAAACAAAATTGGACACTTTTCTAAAAAACGTTTTTCAATTGGTGATTTTTCAAAGAAAATATTTGCCAAGGCAATGCCTCAATCTTTTTAATTGAGACCTGCATCACTAACGTGTGACGTATTTTTATTACCACAAGACACCGTTACGTCGAAAAAGCATTTTTTTTGAAAAGACTTTTTGGATTAATAAAATTGTCCTCCCCAGAACAAGAAGCACCTTTTTTGCGTTTCGGAGCAGAAGACACCGTCAGTATTAAAGTCAAATAGTCGTAAATGCATATTTTTGTAGGATATATTTGTTTGAACGCTCAATGTCAGTGGCAGGCGGGGAGACTGAACCAACTTGATCCCCCAGCAAAACTTTGACACAATAAACAATGCCTTCCCCTTGTCAGTCTTCTCAGACCGGGAACCTTTGATAGAAGTGAAAAAGGAGATCAAATAATGTTACGGATTTATCGGGCGCCATATCTATAAAAGTTGCAAAATATAATTTGCGGATCACCTTTCTAAAAATTGTCCTGTGGAATGCCTTAAAGTGCAGAAATTGGTCGACGGGACAGGCGGTAACTGCATGCCTGCGTCCGTTCATCAGTGCGATGTCTTGTAATTGGTTGTTTGCTGAAAGGCATCTCCACTGTTTCGGTTGTAAAGCAATCAATCTCACGGCTACAGGCAGAATATTCTTTTATAACTTCCCCAAACACCGCAAAGAAAAGTCCCAAAAATATATTTTTTCGAAGAAAACACCTTTATTGTGTTACATACGTCACTCACAAATGACATTTTAAGGATTATTTCATTATAATCACCATATAAAAACATAAGAAAATAATCAATTTTATTTGTTAAGTACTACTGTTTAGGTAAGGGAGGACAAGGGACTATCGACATCCCCTGCAGAATGATCGAAAATTGGATGCTACCCTGCAACATAGCCTTCAGGTCGTAACATTACTTCCCGACCCCCCAACTTCCTGCATGTGAATTACATGTCATTCCATTCTGCCTTACTACCTCAGGGAAGACTCCGAAGGCTGCATGTATATTTCAAGACGGTGATCTCCGATGCTGATAATGTAAGGACACTAAAAGTGTGGTGTTATCACTCCTACCTGCCGATTGGACTACTGTGGGTGTGGAAATCGTCAACAATCCGGCATATTTATATTATTTTTGATAGCCCTGGCTTTGCAGTCCACAAGGTGTGTCTCTCCGTCCTATAGGACAGTGGGGGAGAACTTAACGAGCCTGTAAATAGGGAATTACTGGGGTACATAACTTCAAAAGCAAAATTTTTATGAGGCTGCAGCTATCCACAACAGTATAGATCATTTTGGCATCAAAAATATGTCCACTAAGGCAAATTTAGACCAACGTCTCTGGGGCCTTAAGAGTTATAGGCTGACCGCTCGACATCGACTTGTCAGTACTCTACGCAAATTGTCAAATATGTGAAGCGCAATTAACAGGGCTACATGTGGTCATCACTTAGGAATCCCAAAGAGTAAAACAACTTTTAAAGATAGCCACCACCAATGCTTATCTCAAGTGATCATTTTTTAAGATGGTGTAACAAAATTTGTTGCTAAAAATCCATTCATTTTCAGTGCTTAAACTCTTAAGGACCAATCAACTTTTCGCCTTATTCATAACAAAGATTTGGGTCGGTTTTTTGTCTAAATTTAACCAGGACATTTTACCTGGTGGGTAAAATTAAGAGCGCTCTAAGGCAGTTCTTTATCTGTCCCTGATTAACTGTACCAAACGATTTGCAGAAAACTACTAATTTTTTAATGCGTGTGTTCGCCCATTCCACCGATGGCCCGAATCACCAGTAAATGTGAATTTGTAGTAATTTAGCGCTCCGAGGCCGCCCTGAGATTGTAATTATAAAAGAAGATTTGTTACCGGCGTCAAGGGGTGGACACGGGTGTAAGCGGGGCTGAGTGGGCAAGGGGATGAAAGACCGTTGGCATGGTAGGAAGTCCATTCCGTCAGGCATAAGAACAACCTGAGGAGAGTAAAGAACTTAAACATTTGAAACTTAAATTGGAATGGAAAAGTTACCTGGCTTTTTCACAGTTTAGTTTTCCAAAAATGTAGCTTTTAAACTGTACTGCTACTCATTTTTCGTCAATTTGATAGTCTACGGGGCTCTATCCCCAGATGGCTTAACCACCAGATCTTACTAGCAAGAAGTATTTAAAAGTAGAGCAAAAGAAACCACTAAATTAAAATGTGTTTTACACTTCCTTTTTCCAAGTCAACCCTTCAACACATTCTAGTTGTCATGGCAAAATAGTTTCTTTCCAGAGGTTAATAAAACTGTTTCAATATTCGAGTTGCTAGGCTTAAGAATTGGTTGGCGGGAGCAACATGCTTGACTAATTTGGAAATTTTTTACTTACTACGAATTGTCAACGCGTGGCGGGCTGTGGAAGGACAAATTAATCGTCGTCAGCTGTGATACTGTCTCACCTGCATCCCCAGTACTCCCCTGTGGATATTCCTTTAGCAATCGCATGCAAAGCGAAGTCGACAGTTCGGTAATATAACTGAAGTAGAAGGGATGTTGTCCAGATCCGGATTCTTTGCTTTTAGAAACAAAAAGTAGTACGAAAAGACAGAATTTTCATGCCTATATTTAGTTGATAAAATGGCATAGATTGCAGCAGTAAATACTTAAATGAATAGAGTATTGGAGTTTTATACACCCATTTTTTAATAACCAAACTCCAAAAATTCAGTTGATTAAGTTGCATACAGTAAAGAAGGAAACTCCACAGTCGATGAGTTTACGTTATGGGCCGTCAGGCTGATCCTATGCTGTACATCTCTGTATTTCTTTCTTCAGTTCCCAAGGCGAGGGAATGGATCACATAGAAGTTCATTCTTTGTGGTTTCTGTCAGTTGAGCGTTTTATCAACCTATCATGGCATAGCTAAAAAATGACTTAGAATGGAAGAAGCAGACATCTTCGGGAGGAAGGAAGACGTGTGGCTCACCACAGATCTATCAAAAGCGTCGCTTGGACACTTATACGTGTTTCCTGGTTAATCCAATTTAAGCAGAGGCGACTGTCCTAAAGACTCCACTCACTACCTTCGATGTAGGTTCCGTTGTCGTCTTCTGTTTAATCGCCGAGATTGTTGGTGAATTTTATTACCCACACGTTTGCATTTTTTTGCATGAGTAGGAATGAGTAATCTCTCCCTTACCCCCCCTCCGCGCCACCTCAATTCAAGTGAGGTTAGCATTTTTGCGTTATCGGGTCTACGTGATAAACAAAATTAAAAAGAAACTTCAAACGAATCTCACCGCGCTCGTTCACACAAACCAACCTGTCCTTTTTTGGAGGCAACAAAAAGATGAGCCATCTTTATAAGCAGAGGTAGTAGAGAGGTAGCGTCAGCTATGTGTATAAGATTTAAAATACGGGCTCTCCGCTTCTGGGTCTCAGGAAACGATTAAGTCTTCCTTCTTTCATGTCCAAAATCTAAAGGAGCTTCTAAGTCTTAATGAATTAGTGGCAGAATCAATGGAATTTCCCTGACTTTTCAGAATATTAGTTGACACAATTTCGGGAAATAAATGGAGGAAACTTTGCAGCTACCTAAGGTTTCTTAAATGTCTTCGATAAGAGCCGTGACCAGAGGCTGTACATTAGAGGTGGTTATCTGATGCCAGGCTCTCTGTATTCTCCAGGTCCACACCGCCCAGAGGTGAACACAGAAACATTGCATTGTCATGTTGGCTAAAGTGCTTGAACCCGAGTGCTCTCTCCTTTGAAGCTTCACTAAATGGGCACCAGTAGATGTCATTGCCGTAATATCTTGCCATTTGGAAAATGCCTGTTGTCGTCTGATCTCAGCTAGTTGCCATTTTAACTGTTTTTCGGAACACATGTGTATCACAGTCATTTTCACAAAAAGTTTGCTTTTCTAGAATTCCAAAAGAATGCGTCTGCAGTTCACAGAACGCAACAACGGGTAAAAGACTGGAAAATGTCCTAACTTAAGATACTGAACACGAAGTCCTACTGCAGTGATAGTGTATGGGTTGTGCTAAAGCAAAGGAATAGCTATCTCATCTTACAATGCTTGACAGGGGGGAGAAAGCCAAAGGTTTCCACAAAGACGCACTGAGCACCACACTAAGGCGACTACGCGGGAGGTATTGGTAAACGTGGTCAGCAGTCGAAGTTTATAAACATGCAGATAACTAATGTTTGGGTTGATAGTGTCTGAGTCCGCCATCCAGACGTGAGTAATCCAGCCACAGCTTAGGACCCTTCAACCATCTGCGAAGGTCTGAGACCGTATCTAATCCACACTAGTACCATTTCCATAACCGATTTGCGTTGATGAGTGAGAAACGCGGCAAACCCCCCCCCCCCTTTAGAGAGCTACACCTCGACAGAACACAAGGTGGACTGAAAACATTTTTGGATATTTCATTAAAGCTATGGATTGTTTTTCCCTTTGGAGGGTAATTAACTATGAAAGTAATCCCGAATACTAAGAAATGCCAAAATAATTACCTTAAAACTTAGACTTCCTTTGTTAGGCTTAAAGGATTTTCTATTATTCTGTAATGTTTATCTAGCATAATTTCAATGTACAACCGTAGCTTTCAACTATTCATTATTTAGTATCCCATCACTGACATGATCAAAGGCATCTGCACCTACGTAAGGAGAGTGTTTAATCAATCGCTTTTGAATTTTTGTTACACACTTTTTTGGAAATACGTATACACTTGCATCAGAGTAGACAGGGATAGCTGTGAATAGATCGAAAAATTTTGTCACAAATGAAATGCAGATGCCAAGAATTAATTTAAATGTGTGTGCTAGTCGCTCCTCTTTGGTGTTTTTTCATTCCCTAAAGCCATGGGGGATAATTCGACTGGAAAATCCCATATCAGTTAAACATGGATAAAATTTATGAAACCATTTTAAAATGCTTACCTTGAGTGACTCGTCAGATAAGTGGTCAGTTTTTTACGCCAATCATAATACCGCGACGCTTTTTAATGCAGACCCATTTTTGAGATTGAGGTAAGGGGGGCGTGCAGTAAGTTGGCAGTCAAAAATAGTTAACCAAAATATAAGTTATGGTAGAATTAACTATAGCCATATAGTAGGGGTGGATAGAAATTTTAATCTTTATATTAAAGTAGAGAAATATTCAGGAGTCTACTTAAATGGCCTGTTAGTAGTATTTGGTTTAATGGGGTTTTATTATCCTTCTGTCTTATCGAAGGATGAGTATTACCTGCTTGTTTTGACGAGGTAATATTGTTGTAAAAAATTTTCCCTAGAATTGCTAATAGATAGTTTGGGACAGGTAAAAATGTGTACGCGAAGTTGTTACTCCTGGTGGAAAATTCGGGTAACGATAATGTTGTTTTGAGCAATGAAGCAAAATTTAAAATAAATTTCGATAACTCTTACCCCTATGACAATGTTGGTATTGTGTGATGATTTGTTACTTAGCTTATCTGGGAGTGTATGGGTGTTAACTAAACGGGCATTTGAGTCCCAACGGACAGTGCTTCTGCTCCCCTCTGCGGCATCACCTTTGGGTGACGCTGGTGATTCCCCAACATTTCTGTACGTTGGTAAGTAGTATATCTTTCCACAGCGATTTTTTTTTGTCATGACTTTAGCGAAGATGCTCACACTGCATTGGTGGGAGCGGTGAGATCATCATAACGTCTGAGTCATCTTCTTAGCCATATTAACCCAAAGTAGTGAGGAAGAACATACTACTAGCTAACGTACGGAAAGGCAGTACAGCGGAGCGGAGCAGAAGAACCACCTCCTCTGCGGTTACCATGCTGCGCGCACAGCTAAAGTATCAAAGAACCACAAATCCCCTTCCCCATTGTCCGCCACAAAGAAGTAGGTGGTTAAAAAAACCACCCAACAACCAGGGCAACTTGTCATTACACCCTCCTGCATGTGAGAAGGCAGTTGTTCCCAGCTTCTCTGATGCGTCTCGCCAAATTCTCTGGCCCTGGAAATTCTTTCCGAAGGTCATGTAGCCTCAGAGTGGAGTGGAGATGCAATCTTCACCGTGAAGATCCAGGTGGCCGCACTTAAACAAAATGTCAAACTGCGAACAAGATTAAAACGTGTCAAATAGCGAGTCCCACAGTTCCATTTGACAATAAGACGGCAAATGATAAAAGCTTTCCCAAATTCTCTCCTAATTTTACCCAATTTGAAGTAAATTTAGCTATAAATTACCTATGTTTAACACTTTTTTGGAGCCAAAATGCATATATCAAGATTAACATTACCGCTGTTACACCAAAATATTTGTTGAGACGATAAACTATGATTGTACACTTTCACCCCTACAAAGTGATTATTGCCAATAGCACAACTTACAAAAGAGAAAAAATAATTTTGTAAAGAAAAGCCTTCGCTGCCAAAAACAAAAAACCCTGACCTATCATTGTTAGCTGATGAATAGTTAGCCGAACACCTTATGACGATTGAAGCAAATATGGCTTTTTAGAGTCCCAGCAGCAACAAACTTCAAGAGCCTTCCTGTAAGAGGTAAATTCTTATGCCATATTCAAAAGGTAGCCTTACAATTGAAAGCGAGGAGAAGAAAAAAGAATAGCAGTGACAAAAACTAAAAATGCAAGGAAGAATGTCATTAAACCATTGATTGGTTGCAGCCTCCTGACATTTCACCAGTTGACTAGATTAGCAGTCTTGACAGACAGCAACGATGGTCTAGGGTAATTCAAATTAGCGCCTACTTTAGGACCTCCCTGTACCAATTTTTTTGCAGTCTGCCCTTTTTTCGACTGCCCTGATTAGGGTAGAGGTACTAGTAAATAATTTATTTTGTGACATTTTTTGTCTAGCTAAAAAAACAACAACAACAGCAGCCCCCAAATTTGTTTTGAAGGTGTCAAAAAAGCCAGAACTCAGAGTAATAACTAATCCAATTTTGTGACAAAATTGCAAAAAACGAATTTTATGTCTTTAGCAGTTATCTAAAAGAAGAGCGTTTTTTATTAGTGATTTAGCGGTGAAATAGTTGAATTGTGCGACCACTTTCTAATCAAGAGAAGGCAACTTCAGCACGTCAAAAGGCTCCGATTTGACAATATATTGCCGCATTTTGAGGGTTTGATGAAGAATGCACAGTCTACTGACTGGCGAGAAAAGCTTAAGAGGCTGCTAGCGTAGCTCTCGAGCAAAGCGGAGGCACAACCTGCTCTACAGCTACCAAAGTGTCCGCATAGTAGGACGCACAAATAAACAACTCGATCAGTCCCATGCATGAAATGCAGTACAAGTCCGTCCCTTCCAAAAATTTGTCCAATTCCTTACAGATGATGAGGTGAACACCCAATAGCATCTGTCTACCAAAGGTTTGAAGCTGTCAAAATACGGTTGTTAATCAAGTCTTGAGAATCCATTTGAGAGTTCGAGCCCTCTTCTATTCTTTTTAATAGATATACTCCTTCTCACTAAAAACACGTGCCTTCCTAAGCGATATTCCATAGAGAATTTTGAGGAAGCACCGGCTTACATCAATCTCGTGGCTGAGTGACATGCGCCACTCGAAGTGGGGAAAGAGCTTTAATTTCTCTCCAATACTACGGAATATAGGACGTCTTGCTCTAACCAATCTTTGCCCAAGGGTCTGAGGCCGGAGACAGGAGAAGGAAACCACCAAAGTATTGCATATGACTCAACCTTCTGGAAGCTTTCAAGTATTTTTAAGCAGTCTAAAAAGAAGTGTTACAGATGACCCGTGAATTAACTAGTGTGCCCTTCCAACTGGAAACACATTGTCGCCTTAACCTCTGGAGCATCATGACTTTTTTCTTCAAAAAATTATTAAAATTTTAAGCCTTAAGACTAAAAATGGGCTCCAAATTTTTTCCAGAAAGTATTATTAATTAGAGGTTTTGTGTGTTGGGTAAGGACTTAAATTAGGGCACTTCTTCGAGTATGGGAAATAATAACTTTTAGGAAAAGTTCTGTGCATGATTTTGTCTAGAAGAACATTTGCCTACATCAATTATAATGACATGCCCAAGTAAAGGACGTCTTCAGTGGGGATTGCGATTAGGTCGCCTAGTTTTGTCATTTGATATTCAAAAGACAAAGTCGATCTTCCCCTCAGAAAGGGTCAGGGCCGTTTAGCCGAGCATGAGATGATGATGAATTGGTAGAATGTTGTGACCTATGTGGTACTGCGATTTTCTTTGAATCTGAAAAGTTGTACTAATTTTGAAAGTCGCATGTGCTTTATTACTCTAACGGAGTTCGTGTAGTGCTCAAAAATAAAAAATTTACTCATCATAAATTTGCTTTACTATTCTGAACTTAAGCAGTGCTGTTTACAAATCGATTTAGTCCGATCAGGTATCATTGACAGAAGACGAATGTCACATATATGTGACGCTGGCATCAGGCGTAATAAATAATCTCTTAGAACAATGATTGGATAGCGGCAGGTTCCCTAGTTTCTAAAGCTCTTTCTCAAATAATTGGAAGCCAACAATAATTGTTCACTTATAAAAACAAGCATGAATAGAGCGATTTGTGCACCCCAAAACGAACCAGTTCTTCGGATTCTGTGCTCTCGGTTTCTGTATTTGTAACATGGCTGTCCTTTGCATTACTAGGCCATCATTTCCCCCACCTAATGTATAAGACTCAATCCTGTCTCATACACCACATCTTAAGAAGGTGATCTAGCGCTATAGGTGGCAGGGCAAATAAATAAGGATTCATTACCGGTTACATTAGATCAGTATCCTATTTAGAATTTGAAATATAAATCTCCAATTCGGAAGTGTCATAATGATAAGTGTCCTGATAGATATAATTCTATTCTCAGCTTCCATTAAGGACATAAAATTTGAACTTTTTAATGGACTTGTTTATTAAAAATCAAGAAATTAAGCATTTGGGCTGTATTTAGACGGTATTTATCCTCTTCCGGGTTTTTTACACATAAGCCTCTAGGACGTATGTACGAAATTCACGCACCACCATTTATTTTAAGTTGCAAACTTAACACTGCTACTCTCACTGCATGGAATGGGTTTGTTAATCTTCTGGTCAATCGGGTCTTATAAAAGATAGCATTTCCACACAGATACTGGGATGCCTTGGTCTTAAAGAGGCTTTACAAATAAAATAGGCAACAGTCAGTTTCGAGAGAATTCCTTTAACAACGTGTCACTGCGTAAGAGCACTCCAGTTTGGATGCATCCCTTGGGAGACAAGAGGTCGGGTCACGTCAGCATTGTGGCTAAGTGGACGTCAGCTACTTTCTAGGTAGGGGCAAATTGCGATCATCCCCTTAAAACGTAGATAATCCGTCAACTATTTGTATTAATTTGGCATAAGATGCCCTCCTCTAGCCCATTTTCGCAATCTACGGGTCTGAAGTCAAAGGAAAATAATCTATTTCAGTAAATTAGATGCCACAATGGTTCCAAATGGTTGGGAGTAACCAAATTTGCTAAATGAAGGAGGCCAAAGAAATTTGTATAGGTCAACACACCTCACCACTCCTAATGTATGTGCACCTTAAAAATTGTAGGGAAATTTCAAATTTACTTAAGATGGAGAGCAGCCTGTCCAAACGAAACATTTGGACCAGAACGTAGGCAAGTGATGTGCAGCCAGATTCAAAAAAGGATATACACATTTTGCTACTCTCCCCCTTTACGGAGCCCTTTTTTAGGTGAAACAACCAGCTGCCATTACCTTAGCCCAGTTGCGGCAGAGAGGAAGGTCCGAATTATTCCTAAAGGACTGCCAAAATTCAGACAAAATAAGTGTTTTTGGGACAAAAGGGTAGTTGATGTTTTTCGAAGCTCTATATAAATAATTTACTCCGAAAGGCTTCAAAATCGCCGGATGTGTCTAAACAATGTGTACATAAATTCAAGTGTGGAACAGTTTCGGGGGCATTTACTCGGTAAATCATGGACACCCTCCCTAGCCACGCAAACCATAACCGGATGAAGAGTCGGTCTTCGTTCTTAACTGTGCCGCAAAACTGCGAATGGCAATGAACCTCTGGAATGGCTACTCACTCAGTCCCACTGGGTTGGCTCACATCAGGAAGACGTGTGCTCTAAGTGGACAACATCCGGACGAGAGCCACAGTCAATTAGCTATTATAGGTGCACCAAAGTGAAATCATAGACTTAGACTCAGCCCTTCCCTTCAGCTTCCAGCAGATTTTACCAGCCAGCCATTAGGGTCGTGTGCATGGATGCCGTACCTCGGCACTTAAACTCGCAGACGTAGGCTAATAAAGGCATCTGCACTGTAGTCTTTGTTAACTGACAATCTGGTGGGCAGCTCAACAGGATCCAGGTCACAACAAGCGGGGACACAGTTTATAACAGAAGTAACTAGAAGCCCGTCATGAAATGTTCAAAAATGTCCCCTTATTGATATATATTATGCAGTTTCTGGAAGTGTTCATAAACCTAGACGCGGGGGGAAGTGTTCTTAGCCTTTATTGGAACTTATTTTCGTTAACTTGGGACAAATCGGCCTAATTGCGCCTTTGAAATGGGGAACATTAATGATCTATTTAGATAATTCCAAGCTCGTCGAGTTGCGAAAGGAAAGACGAAAGTATTTTAAAGGTGTGAAGT